AACCTAGGGGGAGGAATTGTTCTGCAATTGAAAGGTAAACAGATAATTTTCTTTTTTTGCTTATACTTTTAAAAATATCTAAGCTTTTTCATGTTACTTTAATTGGAGAAGTTATTTGCACACAATTCAGTTTTATTTTTTGCAGAGTTGAGTGTTTTTATCTGGATGTTTTTTGATTATCAGTACTGATGAGAATTATAAGTAGTTTTTTTTAGAAGTCATAAGAATTCTAGTTCTGCAGAACTTTTATAGTGAGAAGGGATGTGATTTCTGTTAGTTTAGGCCAAGTTAGCTAGCTGTTTACCGTGAATTCTGTTCATGCAGAGTTGAACTCATTAAATGTCAGTAGATAAAGTTTGTACATCCATCTGAAAGATATCTTTCCTCCTATACTTCATGTTAAGCACCTTTTCCCAGTGGCAATTACTTCAACATTTTGTAACCTGCTCTCTCAGTTAAACTGTGCATGCCCCACCCCCACATCAGTTTTTGCCAAAAGCAGTGTGACGTTTTAATTAACCTCTGTGTATGAATGTATACTTCATTTTGTACAGAATGAATATGCTGACTGTTTTTAGAGAGGTACTAATGAACTTTTCATTGAAGGAGAATGATCAGATTTTACTTGAGACAGACAGGCATTATGACTGGAACTTTGTTCATAGCTAGAGAGCAGGAGAAAATCCAGAGTGCTGGTATTTTTCTAATGTGTAAATGAGAGAAAAAGTCTGCAGATCAGCAGTCTAAATAGCAGCATGAGAAGGTGGTTCATAAATTGAAATGACATTTTCAGTGATTAGTTGCTTATTTTTACAATATTATATAGTAAGTGAAGCTATGTCCAAAAGACATTTAGGATTATCTGCAGTTCTTATACTGCCCAACAGTTCTGAAAGAAATCTGCTAAATGCTATATCTACCAAACTTGATCACGTATTTCAGTAACAGAAGCTTCATTGTGTTGCACGCTGAACTGCACTAAGAGAGGCTAAGAACTGCCAAATATCTCTCTTTTGCATCCTTGCAATGTAGCTAAGAGGTACTCCTGTATCTCTTTTCACAGGTATAAAACTGAAGCACAAAGACACTGAATTTACTTCTTAGATATATGCCAAGTTTTAAGAACAAAAGCATCTACAAATGCCTTCAAGTTCATGTGCTTAGGTATCTAGTGAGTTTAGGTATTTAATGCATGAGTCAAAACTGCTGGCTGAGTTGAAGATATTATATCAAGCCTTAAATGAATTTCCATAGTAGAAGGAACTCTGTGGCACGAACTATTGGTCTGGTGTCCAAGTGCTTTCCATGGATAGGTCTGCCTTCTTACTATGGCCAAAAAATTGCAACTACGTATTTTCTCTCCTGTGTGATTAAGGATCCAGCAGCTGATACCTCTGTTTTGCATATCATGAAAGAATGGATTTACTCAGAAAGCTGAGTACTACAGGTGTTTAGTTTATATGTTTGGACTGAAGTGACCACTAAATTACTTTTTGAAAAGAATAAAAAGGTTTTTTGAAAAATAGACAAATAAGATATTGTACCTGACAAGTGATGTCTCTAAAAACTCTTCTGGCTATTTTTCAGTCAGATACCTCATCAACTGTTTGTCATTAAAAATAGAATTGGCATTGTTTCCCTGAAAACCATATTTTTTAAAGAATGCAACTTTTATAGATTTCATATTTCAGTTTCTTAAAATGATACAATATTGCAGCATTGTTATATAGCTGTAAAATGAAGAGAATTGCACTCTAGGAAAATGGTCATATTGCAAGTTGTTTCCTTTTAGTTGGATACATTATAAGAAGAGTATAGAATCTTGCTTAATCTGCTAATTACCTTGGAGGTATTTATCTGCAGGAAGTGAAGTCTAAAAGACTAAGTAGACCTTTATTTTCTCGGAGATCATCCTAATTGCATTCACTTAAAAATTGCATTTGGTTTACTTCTGTTTTGTAAATATTTCTTACAGTTGTTATCTGGGGGGCAGATCATGCTTTCCTAACTGAAATGCAGAACTTAATTCTTTTATTTTTTAATTAAAATTCATTTTTTTTTGTTAGAACCATGAGAGGTAAAGCACTGAATGATTGATGAGGAGAAAACTAGGCATATTTCTGCTGATCTACTAATGTTTTCCAGTAAAATTAATCTTCAGGATTAGATTGGCTGTCATAAACTTAAAAGCAGTGCTCAAAATAAATTGGATACACTGGTATATCATACCAGCCATTCAAAACAAATAGCCCAACACTTCTCATAAGCTATAACTGTTACGGTCATGGTGGTGAGGGAAGGTAACACTTGTAAAACGGAACCTGAGAACCTTTTCATATGTAACACTGAAAACATTAAAAGTTAAGCTCCCTCATTGTGTTTTGTGTCCTGGAATTTTCAGGGATGAATATTATGGCAACTTTTATACCTATTCAGTTTGAATGTCTTACAGTTCTCTGTCGGATTGAACAACGTAAAAGATAAATGTAGAGGTATTAACAGAAATTTTGTTGTAGTTTTAAAGAGATCTACTATGTTAAAAATCCTATAGTATAAGATATAGGCATGATTAACAAAGGACAGAGAGCTAAAGAAAAACAAGGGCTTTTTTATAATTACTATTTGGAAAGAAGACCTCTGGAAGGAAGACCTATTTATCTTACGTGATTCTCCTATATTGATTCTTTCAGCATGTTCAAAGGAAGTAAACAAATTTTTTATTCCTGAAATTAGGAATTTCAAAGTTTCAAAGATTCCCACAGCTCTGCTTGACTGCCTCCATGATTTCATCTGTTTAGGTTACTTTTCTTCCTGTTTAAATGATAGTATCCTGACATTTAAGTGGAAAATCGGGAATGAAGCATTTTTTGTAAGTGCAGTTTGGCAGAGGCCATATATCTTCTGAAAACCTCTTTATCTGCCGCTGTTGCAGTAATATTTAATACTGCAGATATTACATTATATGTGCTTGGAATCTTTTGGTATAGATATTCCGTTGCTCATATCCTGCTATTACAAAATACTGTTTGTCAATATTTCAGATTTACCCTTTTCAACAGGTACAGCAATATTTTGTAGTAGCAATTGCTTATTTACCTCTAGTTGAAGTAAGATGTGTAGTATTGCAGTTTTTGTCATCTTTTTGCAAAATTCATTCCAGAGAGTGACATGTTTTGGTTCAATACTTGTGCTCTGTTTTTACGATGTGTTCTCTTTGTGAGAAGTAAGCCCTGCCCAGGCATTGGGTTTTGTCATGCTTCTTCAATTCTGATCTCCAGGATATGATGTCCCGAAACAGTTAACTAACATTAAAAGTATTTAAAAACTATATATTAACAGATTGAAGTGCTCAGAGAGTATTTAGAAAATGTAGAACATCACCCACAATGTATCTGTCACAGATGGAAAAAAATGAATTTATTGACAAGTGTGTAGTCCATTGAATAAGTTTATAGACCTAAAATCCTACCCAAGATTGCCAGAAATTAACAGTTTGTCTTCAGTACTGGATATGAATTATCTTAAACAGAAGCATAAGTCCCATTAGGCAGGCAGATCTGCATGTCAGAAGAAAGTAATTTACTTTGTTTTTCTGAGAATGTGATTGTGAAGTTTGGTCCTGATATATTAGCCAGACAGCATGGTGCAGTTTTAACTTGTGTATTTGGTAGAGATAAATATATACCATATTCTCATTTCCCTCCAGAATGAATGTGCTAGAGAAACCTGACATGATTTCAGAAAAGCCAATGCTTGGTTTGCAGTCTGCTTCCAGACTCTTAAGTGTACAGGTTATTTCACGTCTTGATGATGCTATGTGTGTTTAGACTGGCTTTTTTCATAAGAAATAACAGACTAAAGCGAACATTTGTGTGCTCAGCGAGGTACCAGTGCAGCCTAGATTTTTCAAAGAAAATGGAACTGCTATATTTGAGAACATGTTTTTATTCTTGTAATAGCTCATTAAAGTACTGGCATCTGACTAAACACTGGAGTTTTTCACATGTTAACTGAAGGAAGAACATCCTAAAATACCAAGGGAAGACAATGATTCTAACTTTGCTCTTGTAGTCTCTTGTGGCCCCAAATGTGTTGGCCACATCCTATAGTTAAATCTTCTCATACTAGTAGAATGTGTATGCCTAATCAGCCTCTCTAGTGTTTCTCATTTTGCAGTAGAAGTTATTGGTGTAGTAGTCAATCCAAGATTTAGGCTTCCATATGAATGTCAATCATTGTAGCATCTTCACACTTCACTGTTCTTCAAAGCATTACAAATGCCATAATCTTTTAATAATGAATACAGGGCAAATTCAATTTCAGGAACCACCACCATTGTTTTGACCACATGCACGTACACAGATTGCTCTGTTCAGGCAAATGGAGTTGGGAAATCATGCTAGTATATAGTAATTTTCTTGTGCTATAGCCTTGTATATTATTTTATAAAATGATATAAGTAGTCAACATACACATCAATTTTAATAGTATGATTTGTGTTACCAATACAGATAATGTAGTGGCTGAGAGCAAGAGGTGAAAAAAATAATTAAAAGTAATAGACAGCATTTTTTTCCTAATGATTTTTGGTTTGGAGGCCTAGAATGCAAATTGGATAGAATTTAATTGCTAAATCTGGTTAAATGTAAAATTAATTATAATACAGCTTTAGTGGAACAGTAACTTTTATATAGTTGAGAAGCAATTTACAGAAACCACTGGTTACTTAGGTTATGATTTCAAGTTTATCATCACATTTTATTAAAGTTCTTTGATACTACACCTCCGAAGAGTGCCTACTGGAACTGAAATGCCAATGTTAAGGGAAGATATTTATTTTACTGATGCTGCATTATGGAATTTAAATGGATAACTGCTGATTGTTAAGTACTGTGTGTTTGTTTAAAAGTGTAAAATGTCTCTTTTAAACGTAGTACAAGAAATACGTGGACTAAAACATTGTGAGTAATAAGTGTTTTGTCCCATCTACCTTTTGACAGGAGAATTAGATGACAGAGAACAGGCAAAGCTGGAAGTAAAAGTATGGGATCCAGATAGCCCCCTTACTGACCGTCAGATTGACCAGTTTTTAGTTGTAGCACGGTAAGATTAAAATACTCTAATAAAAAAGTTCCTTCTGCTTTTCCTACTATTTATTCCCCTATATCGCTTTACTCAACTTGTTTGCCATTTTATGTGAGCCCTTCTCTTTCCCACAGTTAGTTAAAAGAGAAAATCAGACCATAATCCTCTGCATATTTATGGATGCTACCAATACAGAAGAGAGAAAAAGAGAGTGAGTTTTGGAATAATTCTACACTGCCTATATTTCAGGTTATAGTAGAATTTGATCCTTTAAATGTAGACATCCATCTGTTTTCCCTTCAGAGTAAATGAAGCAGAATTTCAGTGCTAATATTTCAGTCTTGTAACGTAGAACTTGGAATTTTGTAGTGTAATATAAAGTTAAGAGTAGAAATATGGAAAATGTTAACAAATGGAATGGATGCAGAACTTGCCCAATTTGCATATAAGCTGAGTAATGTGCAGTGCAGTTATTTTGGGTGAATGTTGAAATTCGAGTTCTGAAGTGATGTATTTCATTACTGAAAAAAATCTGGTCAGTTCCATTTTATAAATTAACATTTATTATGCAGATTATGCAGATTTATAAGAGGAACACCAAAGCCCTTAGAATTCATAAATACCTTTAAAAATAATTTCTCCACTTCAAAAAAAAAACAAAAAAAAAAAAAAAAAAAAAAAAAACCCAACCCAACCTTTCAAAACTCTATAGACTTCTTACTGAAGGACAACTCTGCACTCATAAGACAGAGCGTGTTTCACCTGCCCTGTAATTCATACTTAAAAACGTAGTACAAAGGTACTGTTGTAATGATGGCAGAGAACTGTTAATCACAGCTAACGTAGGGATTTTATCCTGAATCACTCCATCTCCTGTATTGTCTGAAACCTGTCTGTAGAGCGTAGTCTCAAATTCTAGGCAAATAATCCTTTTGTGTTGTTTCCAGTTTCTGTTTTTTATTCTTTCTCCCTTTTGGCTAAAGCGTTTCAGGAAGGAAATAAAGAGAAGTCACTTTATATTTTCCAGCTTATGTGTATGGTGAAATGGGTTGTTGTTTTACTGTTTTACAGTTTAGATGCTGATCCACTTGAGTTTCTTCTTTCTTCCCCACTTGTAGTACTGTATACTTTTTATACAGTAGTAAAAATTGCCTGCCCCTGTTGAATTACCAAGCAGGCCAGAGGGGTATAGGTGTGAACATGCATCTATTCAGAAGATCACAATGCCCAGTAGATGCTCCATAGAACAGAACTCAGAAAACAGAACTACTGCCACTAGCAATATAGTACCTGGATATGTGTGGGCAGACTGCCTTAAATATACCATCTGTGTGAAGATTATGTGCATTTTTGAAGATTTCATTCATTGCCTTCACATCCCTCCACTCTCCATTTTGCAGCCACTCTGGGGAGCTGAAGTAGTATACTGTGAAGCTGAAAATGTTACCAGAGGAGTTGTACTAGTAAGCAGTCTACTGCGAAGTGACAGAATATAAATGAAATTTTTAGAGAAAAGCATTCTTCTCTTTTTGTCCCTTCATTTAAGGCATCCTGTGCAATGCTGTGCCCTGACAAAAGTTGCATTTGGTTAGAAGTTGATAATTTTTTGCAAAGAAGGTTTTTGTTATGGAGGGAATGGGTCTTGGTCATTGCTGACTAATTGCAGCTATCCAAGATCTTGTGGAAGGCAATCACTAGCGACCGTCTGTAATCAGATATTACTCCAGTACCACTTTATTGATGTTCTTCCACAGAACTCCGTTCATCTTTGTAAGCTGCTTTTGAACTGACTGTTTCCAAGCTCCTATATACTTCTATTCACAGGCTGAAAGATCACATTTCTGTTGTGTTAAGTGCTTCTGAGACAGATTTTCTCCAATATCTGGAGAAACAGTTCTCCTATGATGATTGTAGCAGCTTTAAATGCAGTATGTTGAGTGCTTGCATGTAAAGACTTCCATTATACTGAACCATTAAAAGCTACTTGAGCAACAGTGGAGTTGGTATTATGGTCAGTGAAACTGTGCTTACAGACTTAGAATATATTTCTGCTGTGACTTAACTGAAGTTCACTGAGCATTGGCTGTGCCTGCTGGGTTTCCAGTGAGAATGGTATTTCTCTGGTTCCTGGAAGTTACATTTAGTTTTGCAAATTTGAAATTCTGACAGTAAGGATTTTTTCCTAATGTTTTCCTATATGTGGCTTTGGTTAAGTGTGTGTATACTATCTGTATTTGAAATTTTAAAAGCATTTTTGTGTGATCCTTTTTACATGCTGCTTCAAAGGAATCGAATGTTTCTTCCCAGATTTTTCAGTCCAATCTGGCTAAAGAAGGAGTGGCTTTTGTCCTTATAGGCTTTAGCTTTTTCAGTCACACAAGCAGGCTTTGTTCTTTAGAAGGTGTTTACGCACTCCCTTTTTGCATTTGTATTGACCATTTGCAAAAACATTTTTATTTGGACTAGGACTTGTAGCTTTCCCAGTCTTAAAAGGTTTGTTTACTATCTCAGGAATAGAGGCCTTTTTTCTAGATTTATATGCTTAGTGAGTCTGGACCTGTCACTAAGCCCTAGTATGCTATATTCTGCTGGATCTAAAGGTAGAAGAATATGCCTTTCCTGTCCAGAAACTGGAGGTAGCAGTGCCAGAAAAATCTGTGGAGATTTTGAAAAAAAGCGTAAGAGTACTTGAATTGAAAAGATCCAAAGTAGTCTTGCTTGATTGTGACTTTACAGATCTTGAAAGTACCTTATTACTACTACTAAAGCATAATTTGGGCAAGGGCCTCTTGCTTGAACTAGCAAAAGCATCTGTTAGGAGAAACTTGAGGCATCAGACTAATGTGTTCTGGTTTTGAGTTATTTTTTGGGTAACAGACTGTCATTTATACTCTGGCAATGAGAATTCCAACACCATTTCCTACTGTATTGAAATAAGATAAAGTTTAATCAACCAATTTCTGTTCTGTCCTATATATTGGCAGTAGTTCCTCTGTGTCTACTAGCTTCAAAGAACAGGACTCTGAGGAGCTGCAACAGCAGTTTAGATCTGCCTACACTGGCAAACAGTACAATACAGTAGAAGTGGATTTGTAGAATTGAAATGTTTGGTGCTGAGGACCTAGCATCCACACGAGACACATTTTGAGCAGTTTTATTTTTAGGCTAACTCTAATCTGGTCCTGTGGACTAAACATCTATGAGTATGTGGAACTACTGTTTAACAGAAATCCGGTTTGTGTGCTACAAGATACTTTTTGATGTTGGTTAAAGGGCATTAAATAAAGATGCAGTTGAATAAAAGTGCTGGAGACAGTTGCTTTGAAACTCTATTCCTAATCTGAACTAAAACACTGATCTAGATGCTCCCTGTTTTCTCCAGTCATCAGTCTCTATCATTCCTAATATATAAGGGAATACTTCATTTCCTTTTGAGATCTCGTGTTCTCTTTCTAGTTGCTCCAAGTTGCTTGGTATTAGGAAATAGAAACTTTCCTATTGTCAGTATAATGTAGTAGTCCTGTCTTTTTTTTAATTTGTCAAGGGGTCAAAAGTGGTCCTGACCAGACTCAAATGTGGTAGGAGTTGTAGGCTGCAGTCTGGACAGATGCTGACAGCTGTAGGGCGCTTTTTTTTTTCTTTTTTTTTTTTTTCTCTGTCTACTATTTGGTCTATAGTTCATTACATGATAAGTTTTTAGTACATTCCAGTTCCATTTCTGTACTTTATGAAGTAGTGAAACACTTCTTTTATTCTGTTTCATCTCACTAGATTATCAACATAGTCTTCTGGAAGGAATGTATCTCTAAATCAAGCTATTTTCCAGACATTTGTGTTCCCAGCTTATTTCCAACTAAAACAGAGTTTTGAAAACTAATTAAAATAGCCTTAAAGCATTGCATCTCTACCTTATAATTTTGTTCTTTGATTACTTTGAAATTAAAATGACATTGCATACCTCTGGGTAACGTAACATTTTTCTCTTCATTTGGATGCCTAATTATTTTTTGATGTAAAATCACAGAAGAATGGAAAGCTACATTTTACTCATTTTGAATTGGAACTTGATCCTTCCTCTATTATTTCCACTTTTTGTTTTTCTCTAAGGCAGTGATTATATTCATTTTCTATTGGTTAGTATTGATGTAGTTAAAAGTGCTCATGATATATAGACACTTATTTGTTACATTAATTTATCTTACAGTGAGGAGGGGAACACAATGCAGCTTCAGCTAGCAATGTGTCTTTCATCATATTGAGGAAAAGAATACAGTTGACAACTGAGAACAATAACTAAAAACATTAAAAAGTGTGCTCAAGCAGTAATACTCTGTTCTTGCAAGTTATTCAGTGTAGTCAGTGGCAGTAGACAAGACTCCCAAAGCTCATCAATGAAGATAAATACATAAAAGTCACTGGTTTGAAAGCTTCAACATTAGTGTGCTTCTGGATTCTCTTTAGGTGGTGAGAAGTAAGAGGAACTGGAGTTCATTAAAGAGGTAATTAAGTTTAATGACAGAATTGCAGCATAAAATTATGTGGTAAAGATGGTCAAAAATCTGGATGCTAGTGCTGTGCTCACAGAACTAAATGTTTGCTAGCAAGGTGAATTACAGCATCTAATGGTAGGGAGGTGGTTTGGCAATAAAAAGGAAAAACATGTTCACATCAGGTTTACTCAGAGTATCAAAATACTGTATTTCTGCCTGTCATGCTTGGCCAATACACGTTTATTACTTTGTGCATTTTATGTTACTATATTTCTTCTTGACCAAATTCACTTGAAAACAACTAATTCAGACTTGGAGCTGAATTTCTTTTTGCATCTTTTTAAATGAATTTTGATATATTGTATCATTAAAAAAATGTCTGCAGCGACATTTCCACGGACCTGCTTTTTGGGAGCTGTAAATTTCCTCTGTGACTGAAATTGCAGGATGGAGTACAGATGATCACTTAAGTTGTATCCTGTGAATTAAACAATTTGTATATATTTGATTCTATTTCTGTTGAATCATAAAGATTACATATATTCCATTTATATTCATTTAGTAATGAAACTGAAGGTTAGTTGTGGAGCTTAGGGAACATTATATGTGATGCCACCCCCTACACTAACTTTGAATCTTTCAGAGAAAGAATAGTGGCAGGTGACTTTCATGTTTATCATGTCATCTCCCTTGGGGCTCTAAATATCTGAAGTGATAATAATGAAGCATAGCACTGTGCATATAGTTGCTTAGAAAACCAAGGAAAATGTGTCTTCTGGAATGGCATCATTTTACTTTGAATATGTTCTTCATGTCAGATTTTGCATTATCCAGTAGTAAAAATCTCAGAGGTGTTTTTTAACTTCAATTAATATTATGCTGTTGACATATATCTCCACTGAAGGAGTATATTTTTTCTTTTTTCCAAGATTTTAAGTATCATGAGACTCTCTTAAGGCATAATCAGATATTAATTGGCTGTTTGTAAAATGCTGTTATTAATAGCAGTCTAAGAGGTCATCTTTTAGGACTGTTTCCAACTCATAGTGAAGGGAACATTGATGTAATAATAAGGAAAACAAAAAGCTTTCTTAATATGTAGGAAACCACCAAAGATCCACTTCTTTATTTTTCTCAAAAGTGTTAACTCTGAGCTGAGGCATAGGTCTCCTTCATTAGTTTGCAAATATGTGAGGCAAATAATGAATTTGCAGATTCATGTATGCACATGTATCACTTTAAACAGATTTATCCAGAGTATACCCACTACTCATCTGGTATCACTGAAACAGAGAAATAATGTATGAAAGTGAACAATTTTTAAATAAACTTCCACAAATTAAAAAGGATCTCTGTCTCAGGTGGATTTTTGAGAATATGAGGCAGAAGAAAATAGAGTTACTAGCCTGGATCCAGAACTTTCCCCATCTGATTTGATGCTGAACTGCTGTTGCTACTGGGGAGACTAGTGACTATCTTTATCCTGACATACAATCACAGTGGTTCCAGATTTTCTTTGGTAAATAACATCCCTTTTCAGTGCTAGTTACTGATAAACAATTTAGAAATTGGTTGTTACAGTCTGTTGCATTTGCTCTTGCATTTGTAGTTCCATTGTCTACCACTAATACTAATCTTATGCAAAAATTTGAACAATTACTTCCTTTAATGTCTTAGACATGAGTTATAAGAAACTTGGAGCAATGTATTTTCTCTATTTAATACTTAATCTGAAGTTTTACCTGAATGTAGGGCACTCTGGCACAACAAAATGAAGATGAGCTACTTCATCCCTAGTCAGTTCACTAACAGGTTTTTTTTGGACATAGGTATTGTTGAGTTTTGCTGGATTTGTGGATTTATTCCCTAGTCTTAGATCATGACACTGGATTATCTTGATTTGTTTTATGTTTGCACAGTTATTTGCTGCAATCTCTGGTATAAGTCTTTGAGTGAGTGTTCTTGGTTCTCGTCTTTAAGATCATTAAGACAGAGAAAACCTAATCAAGGTAACGCTGGATCATTTGGTCTAGCCCTTAACACTCGTACAGTCTGTGCAAAGAGTGGTCTCTCTGCTGATATTACCAGTTGTTTATCATTCTTGTCCATCTCTCTGCCACCTGTGTAATTCACTGTCTGTACGCCTTTTGGCTTTAGCTTATTTTAGGACGTGTGGGTTTCTGTTTGAGGTCTCAGTACTTTTCTTATTCATTGCATAACTAATTTGTGAATAGCTTGCTGAACACATTTTTTTGTTTATGTGAGTTTATTATTGTTAATTATTGAATTAAATATACTTTCAAGGAAGTATTGACAGCTATTTTTTGTATTCTACCAAATTATTGGAACATTTACATTAAAGAGTCAGTTTAAAAGAAAAAATGAGTAGTTAAGGTCTGCCTGTTCAGCCTATTTTGGCTTAACACTGAGTTTTACTTTGGTAGCAGATAGGTGAAGACAATAGTGTGTCTTCTGGAAATGGGCATTTGTTAGTTTGGATTTGGTTTTTTAAACAAATTTTTAAAATAATTATTTGGTGGTATTATTAGGAAAAAAAAATCATACAAGGAAAAATTACAAAGGAAATGTTTGACCTTTGTATCAGTATGTTCTTCATGTCTGTACTTTACATGGAAAAACAAAAAATAAGGTATTTTAATGATTTTTAAAATTAGTATTCAATTTAGTTTTGGATTAGATGGCTAGATTGTACAGAGCACTCTATATGACCATTAAGTTTTGAGACTACTTATTATTTAACAGCCAAATGCTCTAGAATTACTACACTTACTTGGATTGTCTAAAAAATTCACTGTTTTTCAAAAGTTTCCAGGGAAAAGTGAACTGGAAGTTATGTTGATTTCAACATATAGCCACAGATTTACACCCCCCCGACCCTCCTCTCAAAATGGTACAATGCCTACGTTTTATGGTGGTTCTTACTTGTTTTGCACTCATGTACCCCATGCAACGTTCCTCTGGTGGTTGCAATTTTCTTCTACTCAGTACAGCATTGGAAGCAATGTCAGCTAGTGCATCAATTCTTATCTCTTAATTGCTTATTAAAAATAAACCTAGCTTTGTATCGTGTCTTAATGTTGACTTCACATACTGGGCAACATAATTCACATATGCTTAGGCTCTGAAGTCAGCCTAAGAAGTTTGATTTGCTAGAGAGTGACTTGTGAGGACATACTTTCTGTAATTTTTCTAGCATATCCTGATTTTATTTTAGAAATATGGTCAAAAGAAAATGGTGTTAATTATGCAAAAGGGAGATAAGAAGCTAGTAGGTAGCAGCAGAAGGGAAATACAGTCATGCCACATGCTGCTTTACTGGTTTGAACAGTAGCAACAGAAGGATCACAGGAAAGACTGTTTAGCTACAACCCTTATCGATGCCAACATGTTTAAAGGGGTTGACCAACTATCAGGAAATGTGTTCACAATAGAGCCTTATTCTCAGGACTGGTTTGTGGACAAATAGTGTTTTATGTACTGCCAAACTTTTTAAAAAATAAAATAAAATGTGTGTATGTGTTCTTGTCACATATTTGCCATCTCTGCAAAGAGGGAGCAAAGGTTGTGGAACAACATTTGCATATAACTTATTTATTCCACAGCCTTTAGAAATTTAAGCAGTTAACATCTGGAGTGTGTGAATCACTGCTCTTGAATCTTAACTTTGTCTTACAAGTTTTTGACAGCAAGTACTGAAACGTTTATCCAGTATTAAATATTTTGAGATTCAAGATAAGATTACAATAACAGATGTTATTACGGGTTTCTCCACGATCAATAATGCACCTTACTGAGTTAAACTCTTGATGCACATTAGTTTATTTTATTATTGACTAGCAGGTTTATAGTACATGTGGCATTTTCAGTGTGTTGATCTCTGTCAAGGATATTCCTCATTGGTGTAATTCTGCACTTATAACTTGTGTGGAGTGTAATTGTTGAATGAGGCTCCAGTCCTTAGTCCAGAGGCTTAGACTGTATTAAGAATGTTAGGTGAGTAATTGGATCTTTGAATTTAGAAAGACTTATGTCATAACTGTAACAAATAATTTTTTTCTAATATCATAGTGTCACATTGCACCTCAGGAGTCATTATGCAACTCAGGATATTGGAGCAACTTTTGTTCTATTAATTAATAACCTTTCTCATGTATTGCTGTGTCTTTGCTCATTTCCTGTATAATATGCTGAGCCCAGTCAAATTCTCTTACACATCTTTCCCTTTAGTGTGCATGATATATAGATGTGCTTCCAATAAAAGTTTGCAGTTTAGAACTGTCACTATCACCCTAATTACCCATCTTATTCCTTATCTTTTATTGCTCTGGTAAGTATAACAAAAGCCAGGTACAGTTCATCAACAAAAATGAAGAAAAAAAAAAAAAGGTAAAGGTTTGGAGAAAAAGTGTCCATAGTCCATTTCAATAATGTTGAAATAATTTTATTAAATAGGCTGAGATCGATTTTTCTTGTTATTTTTTAAAATCTGTGAGAGAAACACGATTTTGAAGGTACCTTATACTAAGGTAATATGCTTTCTTTGCCTCACTAATAGAAGTAATAGACATGCATTACTAAAGTGAATAAAATGTTATTAATTTCCTTACAGGAAAATAGTGAACCCCCTTTTAAATTGTATTGTAATTTGTTAAACTCTGTTGTGATTTTTTTAATTTTAAAAATAATAGTTATGGTTGTAAAATCCAAACTGAGTAGGATCTTTCACTTCATAATTAATAAAAAATTGGTACGTTACATTAGTATTCTCTGAGTATCTTTTGTTTCCATCTGCTGTTCTTACATGTAGGTTGTACTTTTGAGGGAAAAGCTCAGAATTTTTATTGCAGTGTTCAGTGATGTGTCTTTATCAAATTGTCCTTTGTTAGCAAAGATCTGAAATCTTAAGAAAGACAGTATGTGACTTCTGTTCTTAAAAGGACACTTACAGATATGACATATTCTGATAATAAAAAAGAGGCTACATCTTTCTGTGCATTTACTGTCTACTGTTTCTCTGTTCTAGTGCGGTTGGCACATTTGCTCGAGCATTGGACTGCAGTAGTTCTGTCAGGCAACCTAGTTTACACATGAGTGCAGCTGCTGCTTCCCGAGATATCACACTGGTAGGTGGCTTCTTAGAAACCCTACAATGTTTTAATATCTGTGAATTCAACAGTCTTTGTTACTCCAGAGTCCCTGTCTTCCAGATATACATTTTCCTTTAGACAGCTTTGTGCAAGGTACACGTGTGTATGATAAATAATCCTGTGTGTTTTCTGTAAGTATATTGCTGCTGCCCTATATTGCATATTGCCATACTGTAAATCACTCGACTTTAGCTGAAATCTGTTTAAATACAATGTCTTGATATGTGATAATTTGCACAGCAGAGTAGGTAATACACATTATGTAGGGATTTATTCAGTATAATTGATCAATAGTGTGATTTAAAGTATGTGGTAATAAAGCTGATGGAAAATTATTTAGATAATGTTTTGTACTTACTAGATGTGTGTGTCAGTAAATTTTACAGAGTATAAGCAATCTGTCTTTATAAGCAACTGTTTTAAGGAATATCCTTAGGATGTTACCTTAGTTTGTTAAAGTGTTCACTGTAGCATAAGCACTGCATCTTTTTGAGGAAATAAAAAATATATCAATTACAGACCAAAGTTTTGTCTCTATATATTCATATTAGCTGAGATGACAAGAGGTGCTACTGTAATAAAAGTGTGCCAGGAAAACTATGTTAGAAGAAAAAAATCTTGCTGTTTCATAGAATCAAGTTTGACTTAGGTTTACAAAGACATCAACAGATGTTGCTTATTATTTTAAGTACTTATGTACAGAATCATCAGGATTATAGTTAAAGCTAAAGTAGATCTACTATTTATCAGATACTTGAATATTTGAATTAGAGGACACTCAATGAAACTAACAGATCAGTTTAAGATAGTTAAGCTACTGCCTTATAAAATGCCTAGAGAGCCCCTGGAATTTGTTTACAAAAATTTTTGTGGGAACAGACAATATCAGCAGATTTAAAAAAGAGGTTAGAAAAGTTATGGACCATGGGTCCATCAGTGGGTACTGAGGAGAATACAGAGAGGTATACTGTCTAGCATTCCTAATTCCCAAGATTTGTAGATGCTGGCGAATGAAGTGGGAATTGACCTCAGACTACAGTTAGACTTGCATATTTTCTCTGATTAACATCCCTTGGTGCTGCTGTCAGAGATGGAATGCTGCTTGGCTAGATGGATGACTGATTCAGTAGGGTAGTTCTTAAATTCCAGATAAAATATATTCATTAGTATTATGAGAAAAATATTTCTTGCATTTTTTGGTGTACTCAAAGGCTATTAAACAGGAAACTGATTTAGTCTGGACTACAGTAGTGTAGTAAAGGTAGTGGCAAAATGTAATGTTTTCAGTAATCCTCAAAATGAGTTTTCTGTTTCACAGTTGCTGATAATGACCTTACCAACACAATTCTGTTCGCATTCAATGCTTTATTTTTTTCCATCAAAATAGTTATTTAGTTTAACACTTTTCATTTTATGAAGATTTAATTGGATTAAAAATTTCTAATAAATCCCACACATTGCACATTCTTCTTATTGTATTCAGTGATTAATAGTATAGATTCATCCTTATAGCAGTTTCTTCTTGTTTGAAAGTAAATGTGCAGTGCTGCTAATAAAGGGACACATTTAGTGTTTGAATGCCATACAAATGTTTCTCCGTTGCAAATGATCCATTAAGTTCCATTACACTTAATGAAAGACATATCTTACAATGAGGCACCAGAGCAGCCATCCCAGGTTTAATTATTGTGTCTGTCTGTTCTCATTTTCCTACCCCCTCAGCTTTTTAAAACCCTTCTCTTTTGCTCTTTGACAGTGTATTTCCTTATAAGTTAAGAAAAGACATATTTGTCATTATAGTAGTTATTCTTTCCCATGTTAATTGGGAGCATGTTTTGAGCAGCAGTTAAAGTTAGTTGAGACATTTGCAGAACTTGTGGTGTATCTTACTTATGCTTTGGAAGGGATGTAGGTCCATAACACCAAAGAAATTAGACTGTCTGTATTCTTAATGCAAGGCAGATAACCCTTGTACCTGAAATGCTATTAATGGGATATCTGTACGCCCCACATGTGGCTTTCTGGTATTCCTAATTATTTGTTTCAATTAGATATGACTGTAGACAGACTGATACTAAAAAAACCCAAACAACAAACAAAACAAAACAAAACCAAACTACAATAAATGCATAGGTTATAAACATGAGTAAATTCACAGTGGTTGTACACATTAGGGAGGTCTTGCAGCTTAACAGCAAGAGGCTACTTTCAGGCTTCCTTAGTTTGAAAAAATGGGGAAGGTAATGAGACAAGGCAGGAAACTACCAATGCTTTTAGAAAACCCTACTGAAAGACATGAAACATTGTGTGTTTATCTTCTTAGATGATAGTAAATGTTCTTTTCTTACAGACTTACAAGACAAACAACTAACTGAATCTTGAATTTCTGGCCTTCTCAGAGGCAGTGTTTTAGTTTATAATGAAAATTGATCTCTGAGAAGAGAAAGAAACTGGGAAGACTTACTGTTTCAAATTCCTATGTGTAATGCATACACAGACAATGAGAGCTATTAAAGCAAAGCAGGTTGATGGAATCACATGCTCCTTGTAGTGGGCTTGTGCAGAAGAGCGTGTGGTACTTCACTGTAAGGACACCAATCTGGTTTTGGATGTCTCTTCAAGATGAAAAGTATTAACAGGTTTTTCCTTTGCATATTGAACAGCAACTTTTTAATCAGTTTTATTAGACTTCCATATGTGTGGCTTCTAACATCAACATGCTTAAAATTTTATTGAATTATAGAATCCATACTCTGTTTCTAGTTTGAGTGCTTTGTTTGAGGCATTTCAGTCTAGTTGATTTAACCGACTACTGAACTTGCAGCTGTTCTGGAAACTGTGTTACAGCTTGTTTGCAGTGTGTGCCCTGTCATCCCTTTTCTTCCCAGCTCCATGCTGCTCTTCCTTTGCTTTTGGTGGACAGTTTCTTTCTTCACCTGCTTAAATTTGGACTTGAACTTCCCTCTCTATCTGTGTGGCTGTCCTGGTTTTGGCTGGGATAGAATTAATTTTCTTCTTAGTAGCTAGAATAGCCCTGTGTTTTGGTTTCAGCATGGGATTTGGTATGAGAAGAGTGTTGATAATATACTGGTATCTGTGGTTGTTGGTGGGAGGAAAAAAAAAACAGCAAACAACCAACAAACAAACCAAAAACCAAGACTTCCCCATGTTATGCTCATCTGCAGGCACAGGAGAAACTGGCAGGGGGAAGGGAGGGCATAGTAAATCAGCAGACCCAGACTGACATTTGGATGTGCCAGTGGAATATTCCATATTATATAATGTCATGCTTGGAATCCAAAGGAGAGCTGGCAGAGAAGAGGGACTCTCACTTTCAGGGATTGTGGTTTTGGGTTCAGGGTTCCTTTTTGCTCCCCTGGGATCACTATCAGCAGGTGGTGAGCAATTGCACTGTGCATCACTCATTAGATATATTATTATTATCAGTATCATTATTATTTTATGTTTATTTTATTAGAATTATTAAATTGTTCTTATCTCAATCTACGAGTCTCCTTACATTTACCCCTCCAATTCTCTCCCCTATTCCCTGGGTGGAGGGGAAGGGGAGGGTGAGCAAGTGGCTGTGTGGTATTTGGCTGCCAGCCAAGTTAGACTACTACAGTGGCTCATACCTTTCCTCTGGTGGGACCCCTTGTCTGTGCTGGACAGTATACTCTGGGCAAGAGTTCTTAGGGAAGAGTGATTCTTCCTCTTTTCTTCAGTCACCTATTTGGGAGAGGCAACACCAGGTCTTCCCAGCCTCCTTCTCCTTAGGTATTAGGTACCCACTAGTTGTTTCTTGCAGTCCTCACATCCTTGGATAAAGCAGATAAAAAGGAGATACTCCAGGACTTTTTGTCTTGGGCTCTAGTAATGTCTTCAGGCTGCTCTTGCTTCTGCTAGCCCAGTTTAATCACTGTTGTGTGGGAATTTGATTGCAGGTGAGGGCTGACAAACCTGCAGAAGGCAGAGGGTGTTATCGTGGGAACTTGTCAGTAGTCTTCTGTCACAGAGCAGCTCAGTGAAGACAGTACTTATGCACAGAGTTCATTATGAATCTTCTCTTTGGTAATATCAAAAAAAGCTCTATGGGATCAAATGTTTGTTATAGATGGAAAAATGAACATAAGGCAAGAGCGAGATGCTGATTTATTCACTTCTATTGTCATTTTAAAGAAAGTTGGTACCAGTGAATAGATCCAGATTTAGCAGATCCATATTCAGATTTTTGCTTGGAAAATACCTGGTATGTACTGCTTTTCCATAAGGACCACAACTTAAAGATTCAAACCTTGGTAATGCTTATACTGTAAGAGTTCAGTCTTTATGCCTGGTTTACTCGTTGCCTGAATGATAAGCATTAAACTAGTGGTTTTATTTTACATTCTGTAATCTGAAGATTATTGATTTTAGATATTATGTTATATATTACCATATTAGAATACTTCATTTTAATAATAGCTTGAACAATTTGGCTTGAACCATAAGTAGAATGACATATTGTGGGATAATAGTGACATTACTTCTTGCAGACAAAACAATTCAAGAATCTTGTGCTTGATAGCTTTCAAAGAAGTATATTGAAAGCTGGAGAAAGACTTTAGCTGCTCACAGGACATGGCAGAAGATAAGGAGATTTCATTATTTGCCGTACATTTGTACGCTGAAGCTCAACTGGAATAGCTCTGGAAGGGCTATACTGACAGATAATGCAAGAGTGTTCCTTCCCTGAAAGGTTTCAGGTGCCCCCTCTCTTAAGATAACTTTAGGGCCGTGTGAGAGATTGCATGCTACAGTTAGAGCTCATTGCTGGGGTGGGACAAATAGGTGGGAGACTGGTTACAAACTTACACACGTTATTGCGCTGTATACCTCTAAAACCTCCTTCAGCACAACAATTTAAGATTGTGGTGACGGTGTCTTTTGGGACACTGAGTCAGAAAGGCTTCTTCTATGCTTCTTGTTTTCCCTGTGCATGGATTTGTGATGTAGTTGCTTACTTTTCACGCTCCCCATCCTTGGTTGGTCATGTGACCATTTAGTGTTACCTCTAAAGTGAAATGCTATAACTGGTTCATTTTTTATTTTCCTCTTTTATAAAGAAAAGTGAAATAACCAAGGAAACCTCATTTACCTATCTCTGACAGCAGAGTTTAGCAAGGGATAAAAATCTCACTTGTTTTTCAGTATGATGATAATGAAAACCATAAATTGCTTCCTTCCCCAGCAATGAGAATATTGAGCACACAGATGTCTTGACAGCTATTTAGCTACTATTTAGAACTTCTGTTAACTGAAAATGGCACCTCAGTCATTATATACCACTATCTCTATTGTGTTAGTTGGAACCAATTTCTACCAACTAAAGATTCTTGAGAAATATTTGCTAGTAATTTACAGGAACTAATAAACTAATGTCATTTTTAGTAAACATTTTAAGGCATTTCCTTTCCCAAATTAAGTAATAAATAATTATTTTTCCTTATCTTCCACAGCAGAAAACCTGTGATATCAAGATAGGTTTTAAATTTAGCATTAGTTGAGGCTTCTTTCACGGCTTATAGGAAATAATACACTGAATTTGCATTAGTTGAAATGGACTGCTGTCTTTTTAAGCAAGTTTTTAATTCTGTCCTTCTCCTTACTAGTTTCATGCAATGGATACACTGCACAAACACAACTATGATTTGAGCAGTGCCATCAGTGTTCTGGTGCCACTTGGAGGGCCAGTCTTGTGTAGAGATGAAATGGAAGAGTGGTCAGCATCAGAAGCCAGTTTATTTGAAGAGGCACTGGAAAAGTATGGCAAGGACTTCAATGACATTCGACAAGACTTTGTAAGTACAAAAGTACACTTTTATGTTACTGTGTTTTCTCGTGGGTGAGCATAACTGTTTTCCATAGGTTTGGAAGATTAGCTAGAGGAGAAAACTGTGTAGCTGATACATGTAATTAACGTACTTCTACATTTTATCTGGATGCAAGTCAGTATGTTTTCTTGTTTGGTGCCGTTCTGTGGAAAGATGTTGGCAGAAGATAATCTGTGTAATGGTTTAATACCAGGTAGGATGTCTTATGCTGATGTGTTTTGATAAGGATTTTACAAGCATCTGAAAAAGTTCCAGCAGCTTTTTAGAACTTTTCCACAAATTCTAGTGAAATTCATTAGCAGCTGTATGGCTGACTCCCCTGAGTGTTTTTGGAAAGCTGGGGTTTCCTCCTATGGTTAGCTGGGAGAAATTTATATTCAGATAGTGCACTACAGGGAGTTCTTTTGACATATTAGGTATTTTGGCACTTCTGAAAAGTAGAGGAAATGTTTTCCAATATAGTCTAACTACACTGGGTTTTAGTACTGAAGTATCAGACTATAGGGCAGCAAAGCTTTAATTTGCTGAATTCTAATACAGAGTACTTAAAAGAAATCGATACTAACACTGATTGCTGGAACTGCTAGTAATTTGCCTGCAAATTTTTGACGTGTATTTTGGAGACCCTCTTTCTTTCAAGGACAAATTTCCTCTGTTGTACTAAGTTCAAGCTGGACTTCATGAAAAGGGTAGGATTTGAGCCAAAGGAATTCCATTATTTAAGGTTGAAGTAAATTTAAACATTTTCACAACAACTGATTCTGCTTCAGTCTAAGAGCTCAGATTTCTTTTTATTTGTAGATACTTGTTAATAATCTTTGCGAGGGGAAAATGGTACTGTATGGTAAATGTAGAAGTCCCTCCAAGATAGAGTGTGGGACAGCAGGAGGAGGCTTGGCACTGAGCGAAGCTGTCTTTTCTTCGCTTTCACAGTTCTGAAATGAAACAGATAATTGACTGAAGGTGGGAAGGGAAGGCTATTGTTTTTCTGAATAACTGACATTTTAACAGGTGTATAATATCTGCATGCTTGATTTTGAGATTCCTAAGGGAGAAAATGTTCACTGCATTCATCGCATAAGGTTGAAAATCATATCGTGGATGAAATAGCTCTGTTACGTTCAAGAAAATATGAGTGGAAAATAATATTTTATAGAGTTTTAGAACTGAAATCTTAATGTAAAATACAATTCCATATTATTTCTCACACAGAAAAATGGTCCTCAGTTGTAATTGTACAATAGTTCAATAGCTATGTCTTCTAAGTAAATGTTTCCTTATATATAGTATTCGGCTTTTCGGAATGGCTAAAGCATATATTACAGATTTTATTGACTGCTTACAAGTTGAGTCCCAACACAATTTGTGACCAAGTGTATCCAACTTGTCTCTGGTATTTATGTAATATTTTTATAACTTCTGTGTTATGTTACATGTAATTTTGTTGATATGCATACATTAAAGTGATACAGTAATGTGTTGCAGGAATCACTTATGTGTTTGTAATGTTCAAATGCTAGATATCAATATTAGAGGGAGTCTACTTGAAGCTCTTTAGAATGTTCAGTTTTTATATCGGGTAGACTCCTGATACCATCCTTCTTTCACTGAATCTTCCTTCCCGAAATGCAGATATTCTTCTCTTGCCCTTCTCCCAAAGTGAGAGGCCCTCACAGATCTAGAGGAAGAGTTGCGTAGCCTTCTGAGGGCACATTAATGTCGAGTCAGAGTGCAGCAGAAATAGGCACAGGACACTAATTAATTACAGTCTCATTTAGTTAGAACAGGGATGTTGTCTATCCTGAAGTTTTTTTTGTTTTTTGTTTTTTTTACCTTTGGAAAAGTGGCTTGTCATTTTTAAAACATCATTAGAAGAACATCTGTTTTACATATCAATTTATATGGTATTGGTAACTTAGTGCACACAGTCTTGATATAGTTCTATGTAATTTGGAAGCTTTCAATTACATTAATCATTGTGTCATCTTGGGATATCCTCATTTCTCTAGAGTAGTATTTATGTGTTCTCACTTGCTATGTAGCATTCTAAAGGTATAGGGATTTAAAAACAAACATTTGGTTTTAATTAATCTAAAAAAGTCCTTGAAGATTTAGATCATGGTTATGTGAAAAGTTTCTGCAAGGTGAGGTAGGTGTAAATTTGTAGCACTTATGCAGTGGATATCCATGAGAATACATTTATCTGTTATTATCCCTCTCTGCCATGGCTCGTTGTTGACAAGTAAGTACTCTGTGGTGTAAAGGCATGGACAAAGAAGCTAATGCACTGGTAGCATACGTGCTGACTTGTTTGAGTGTCCACCTAACATCTAATGATAAAATTGCATCCTATGGTGCCTGCTCTTAGATTTGAACCTAAGCAGTCACGCAGTGGTGCCACAGCACAGGCGGGATTGTCGTGTCACCTGGTGGAAAGTGGTTGGTAGCATTCTCCTGAAGCAGGAGAGTTATGTAGCACCTACTTGAGTCATCATATGCCAGAAGAGTTGCCTTTTCTGAATTGTCCTGAATTTGCAAGGCATGGCAGCTGCCATTGCAGCCCTTATGTGACAGTTCTCTAAAGAGCAGGCTCATTTACTTTTCCAGCAATTAGTAAGAACTGCCACCATTTGACATTCAATGTGCAACTCAAGCATTAAGTTATAAACATTAAATATTAGTAAGCAAGACAATAAAATTAAATGGTGTAAAGGAGTTTACCTTTTTCATAGACTGAACCTCATTAGTTATTAAATTACCAGTCTAGCCTTTGTATAATCATTTTCATCAGCTATTGACTGATCAACTGATGTAGGAGCTCATTTGTTAAGATTCTGCTGTCTCTAAGAACCTATGTGAGTCCTAATCAATCTAAATTTTTAAAGTTAATTTAATTTACTTGATTTACTTGAATTACGTTACATCCCGGGGTAGTAGAATGGGAGAAGGCTGCATATTTTATGTTCTCAAAATATAACTATTTTCCTAATGGTAAGAGACAGCTGTTACGCTTGTTAATTCTTAGGTTTTCATTATCACTAGTTTTCACAAATTTATAACTGTTACTTCCGAAATATGACAGGAAAGGCCTTGGGAATTGTTTGAACCATTTGTAGAAAACAGAAGCAACTGTTTTCTAACTTGGGAAAATTGTGGAAACAATGCCTTAAAGTTAATTTTAAAATAGTTTACAATCCTAAGTTTCCCATGCTTGTCTGATTTGAGTGGTCCATTTTTACTCTGCAGAAACTAAAGAAACTGAAAATTCCCTCTCCCTGTTTTTGTACTGCTGACACCTCTTTGCTAATTTTCTCCTACAAAAATGTCAAGCAGATGGTAATTTTACTTGTTTCAATTAATGTTTAATAAAATTTGGTAATGAGAGTATGTTATTCTGTGGGTGTTTGCAGCTTCTCTTTCAGTTGAAAGCAACCTCTGGAAAATTCATGTGCCTCTAACAGCGTTTCATGCTTTAGGTGCATAGGTAAACAGAATAGTCATACTCGGCCTGTCAAACAGGTTTCTGAGTTGTGAACCAAAGTATAGAAGGATTATGGTTACTCAGTCCAGGCACCTTAATTATCTTTCTTTGATTGTAGATGCCTACTGAGTCAATGAACATACGGGTGTCAAAATGATAGTTAAAACAGATTAAAGTATTTTCTAGAGAAATGTCAAACATAATCTATAGCATGAATGTGTTAATAAGTGTTCAGGAAGGAAAGTAAATATGGAGACGCTAAAATGTACTCAATGACAATGGCAGGTAGTTGAGGTGACAGTGCTTCATCTGAATACAAGGAAGAATGTGGACCTAGAGGCTGAGAAGCAGCCCATCTGTCACTTCACACCAAACACATGTTCCCGTCACTGGCCTTTTCTTGGACGGATTTCTCTTAGGGCATAATTTACCCGAGAAATTAAAAGGATTTTAATGAAGTGACTTGTTGGAACATGAGCTTGTGCATTTGTTATACTGCTACTTTTTAATTAAGTGCAAGTGGACAGGGATTTACACACTGTGGTACATTGCCTGAGAAAGAATTCACAGCTGAGTCTGGACCCAAATCCCAGCTCCTAAAAGGCAGAGATGGGAGCCAGACTCAGTTCCTCCAAGTGTCTGCAAGCAAGCAGTGTGCAAAACTGGCTGTGGGCTCCTGCATGCAGGGAGAGGCAGCTTGATAGCGGTGTTCCTCTGTTGTTTTAGGAACTTGATTAAAGGTTCAGGAACCTATTCTTTTGGCTTAAGACATGCAGAAAGCCCCAAAGTGGAGTGAGTAAGGTTGGAAAGATAAGTTTCCATACCTGAATTTTCTGGAACTTCCTAAAAATCAGAGAAGCATAGAATGGTTTGGGTTGGAAGGGACCTTTAAAGGTCATCTAGTTTCAAACCCCCCTGCCATGGGCAGAGACACTTTCCACTAGACCAGGTTGCTCAAAGCCTCATCCAGCCTGGCCTTAAACACTTCCAGGAAGGGGGGCATCCACAACTTCTCTGGTCAACCTGTCAATTTCTTCCTCATATCTAATCTAAATTTACCCTCTTCCAGTTTAAAGCCATTTCCCCTTGTTCTGTCACTACCAGCCTTTGTAAAAAGTCCCTCCCCAGCTTTCTTGTAGCCCCTTCAGGTACTGGAAGGCAGATACAAGGTCTCCCCGGAGCCTTCTCTTTTCCAGGCTGAACAGCCCCAACTCTCTCAGCCTGTCTTCAAAGGACAGGTGCTGCAGCCCTCTGGTCATCCTCGTTTCCAGAAAGCAGACAATATTAAGATTTAATGCATGCCTCTAGAAAATACCATGCACAAAACAGTAGCATGTTTCCAGGTTATGAAGAAAAACGGCATGAATTTTGTACAACAATTACTAATTTAAATTATAGGAAGAATTTATGGAGTTAAATAGATTATTCAGTAGTAATTAAAAACGACTGCTGTATGCTTAGTTTTCTTCCATAAACTTAGGCTAATACATTTTTATTTTACCAATGAGCATGTACACCAAAACCAGCACTGATCATAATCAACTGCCCTGAGTTTGCACAGAGATTTTTGTGAAATAATCATTGTTAGTATCACTCTTGTTCAAGGAAGCATTTGTCCCTAGCATCCTTTTGTTTGTTGGTTAATGGTTGAGAGTACGTGGAGGTTTATGCAAAACTAGTGATACTGTATGAGCAACAGAGTTGTTACAGAACTTGAAAAACCTGTGAACTAAGTACAGTAGCCATTGTATTTTTTAAGAGTAAAATCATAATGAGATTCAAACACAGTCTTGTCAAGATGATTTATTTTAGTCCTGATGTTGTTCCCCATCTGATAGACTTTATAATAGAGATTTACCTTCTGTGTTTCCTGATGGAAATCTGGATTCTGTTTTGATCATTTTGTTTAACCATATGGCTTAAACAAAAGTAAATTACATTTGGATTTGGGTCTGTAACATAGTTGTAATTCTGCATCCTTGTTAACTATAAAGAAAGGTTGTGTATTATTAATAGTAATATGTATTCATTTGCATTTGGATTTTAATGTAGGTATTTAATGCATTCATATTTTAGTATTTGTGTATCAACTATACTTGATTTTAATGTGTGTTTAATAAGATGTGGACATTGCAATTTCTTGGAACCGCTTTAATTTGTAACAAATGTTTTTCAGCTCCCTTGGAAGTCGCTGACTAGCATCATTGAGTATTATTACATGTGGAAAACCACTGACAGATATGTGCAACAGGTAATTTAATGACTATTTCGACATGAACCAGTCTGCCATGTTCTTAAAAAATCTGAACTTGTTAAAGGATAAAAATCTGTGTTCTTGAAAAGAAATATAGTGGGAGACCTGCGGTAATATTTTAGGCTATAGACCAGTGGTTTTGTGCTGTTCGCAGGATGCATTGTCAAATCCTCTGATGCCTACTGTACATCACATAGCTGTGAAGAGCTTTTAAGCCATTTGTATTGTATGCTGCTTTGTAGCAATGTGATTCCGGGTTGTTATTGCAGTATGGGATAAGAAGGAAATGGGTTGCAGAGCGAATGCTTCAGGCTGTGAAGCTGTGCATGGGACTGAAGGAGAAGGAAAAATACATTGTGTTAAAGTGGCTGATAATGTTATGAACCTTTTATTGGTACTCCATGATAAAACATTACTTTGGCATTACCAGAATTTAAAAGCGAAATTGAGAACATTCTGCATACAGTGGATGTGTTCATCATTCTGATTGAATGTTTAATTGAATTGTTGGGGTTCCTCTGGAGCAGAAACATGAAAAGATTATATTGGATACCGACACTGGGATATTTTAAGGAGGTTTAGGCAAAATTTCAGTGTTGGTGCTTCTTATATATTGCACTCTTTATGTATTTACTCTTTGGTTTGGTTTAGATATATAAAATATTTTAAAATACTCAATTTTAATTTATGATCTAATGTCTAAGTTTTTAGCTTCTTTACTTGCTGTATAATTAGTGGTGATGTTATGTTCAGCATGTTGAAAATAAATTTTATGCTGTAATGGTTATGGCTGTATTGTTGGATGGATCTTTGGAATTGTTCCAGATTTTGTTACGCTGTGTGTCAGAAGGATGGTTGCTTCTGGTTTATCTGTAAGCATTTCTACATCATTTTGTTAGGGTATGGAAAGTAAGGGAAAAGTTTTTTACCACATAAGAGAGTCTTGGACTATCATTAGGACCTTTTAGTTCTATGGATAACACAAATAGAAAATAAAATGCTGTTTACAAAGGCATATTTTTCTGTGTTTGTCACCATTTGTTTCACTTTCAAAAGTTTTTTTGCACTGTTAATCTTTATCCTAGAAGGGTATTGCCAGCAAAGATTTCCTGGGCTGTTTTATCAGCTCTTAAGGATTCGGCAACAGATGATCTTGAAGAATCAGATAAAAAGATTTTATAGATAAGGAAAGCCATGAAGTAGGATAAATTGAAGTGCAAATTGACTTCTGTCAACACTCTTAGTTTGCTCAGAGTTGTTTCCTGTGATTTTTTTCTGAAATACTTCCTCTGGAGTGGTTGGAGACTCCCTTTATATATCAAGTTTGCTAGGGCTTCATTGTGATTCTGTTGCTACAGTGATAAAGGCATGTGATGGTGTGTTAAGTTTGTATATCCATTCACAAAATTAGGTTTTTATCCTCACAATAAAAACACATAGGCTTTATGGTTAACTACAGTTTGAATGCTCTTGTAAGTGCCTGTTTGTTACTTGTAACTAAGTAAACGTGGAACATCCTAATTCAGAACATGGCAAAACATCACAGGATTTAATGCTTTAAGCATGTTCTTTCAAGGTCATGCATGAGTGCCAATAAAAAAACCAACAGTGTACACCAAATACTTAATTTCTGTCCTGGTTAACTTTTCTATAATCCTTCCTAAAAATAGATCAGAACTTCATCCTGGCCTTGTTTAGTTTGTTCTGGAATGGTAAGAAATAATATAATTCAGTAAAATCTGTATCTGTAGGGTTTTTTCCCCCACCAGAACAAGCTGTGATAATTGAATGCATTTCAGGGAGAAAATACGTTCAGTAAGAAAGTGGCAATTTCAGAGTCATTCTTCTCTAAATACCAGGCTTGAAGGGGTAAGGCAGCTTGGGGGAATGGGAAGGCAAAAAGGGTGATGTACGTACTTGAATCTTATGCATAAAATCCAATTTCTGAATTCTAGATCAGTGTGGTTTAATATGAAAATTTGCTCTTTAATTATCTTTATTTCTTTATATTAATTGGCTGCATTGTGTCAGGCATAAGAAAGGTTTCCTTATCTTAATTGCTACTAAATGTTATTCTTGCTTGCTAGCTAAAGGTGGTGATTTAATGGCAATGGAGATACAGTTACCACCTTGCCTTCAGAGCATGTTTCCTTCAAGTCAAGCTGAAGGGAAATAGGTATATTAAAGTTCTCAGTCTCTGATGAACCTGTCTAGCAAAACTAATTCAGGCCTTGGGTAATCATTCTTGGTGACACGGCACTTTTCATGACCGCTACATTATATAGTGTTTGAGGAAGGCCAGGTGGCACTGGATTAAATGTGTTCTCATCTTTTGTAGTGTTCTCCTTAAAAACCTGATTCAATGCAAAAATACTTTTAATGAGACTTTGCAACAGAAAAGGGGAGAACTTAGGTAAAGATAACTAAATTACTGTTCTACAACAATATATTAAATTTCCTTTTCATTTATTTATTTCCACTGTTGAAAACAGTTTTTAGGGAAATGGTAATTTCTTGTGATATTTGTCAGTTGATACTCTTAACAAAAGTTCTAAAAAAGAAGTAACAGTTTCAGAGGTAGTTGATTAAAAGTATTAGAGCCCAAGTGAAAAGCTGGGCTAATGTAGCTTGACCTCCCCTGCAGTGCAGTCTGTGAAATAGTTACTGTTTAAGATCAGATGTAAGATCAGATCTCTTTGTTGTATTGCTCCAGTGATTCATTACCCTTATTGTTAAACTGGTGCTTTGTTTCTTGTCTAAATGTTCTCAATTTCAACTTCCAACCTTTACAGTTTTCCCAGTTTTCATCCTTTTAAATTTCAGCAGGCAGAGGTTTCATCTCAGAAATTGCAACTATTAGTTGATAGTTTTGTTTCTGCGTCTTTTCTTCTCTCTCAGTACTTAAACATTGATAGGTCAGTGTGAATTCAAGCTGTGACATTTTATGTTGCTTTTAGAGAGCAATGTTAACTATAGTTTCAGTGCATAAAAATACAGCTTATACTGAAATGACATTGTGTGATTATTTTTTAGAAGGCAGTATGTCATCCGCTTTAGCAAACAAAGGAGAAAAGTAATTACAAAAATTGCATTCCTTACAACCTCCATGCCGGTATTAAACGTATGCTAAAATTTAATGAATGTGTATAGTCACTTCTCACTGACACTGCCATCAGGGCTTAATACAGCTTCCTAAAAATACCTTTACATTTTTACAGTGCTTCGAGGCTACTTTCCTCTTTATTGTGTTTGTCTCTTTTGCTCTGGTGATCTTGCTAGGTATGCAGTGAGATTTACTTGTTCTTTCTGTAGAATGGGACCAATTTGTTATGAACCTCTGAGGAACGCATGTCACCTGCTGACCTTCAGTCTTGGATGCTTTTTCAGTTTGAAAAAGAATTCTATATTGTTCGGTATAATAGGAAAATGAAAAAGACAGTTTTGGAAAGGCTGCGGTCTGAAGCTGTTGAGTGGAAGTAGTTCACCGTGGAGAGCTCTTCTGCTGGGGCTGGGAAATGTTCTGCTTAAAAACTGTCAGTTTATGAGACTTGGAGCATGCTGCTGCTGTTCGTTTTCCTTGCTCTTGTAAAAACTGACTTAAGCCAGCAGAGCATATACTGTGTTTGCATGTCTGCTATGGGCCTGTTGAAGGTAGTGCAGTGTTTCCAAGGCTAGTGCTGGTGAAAGACTGCAACTGCACCAGGAGTATGCATGGAAGTCACTTCTGTAGCTCCAAGCACAACTAGGCACCTGGGAACAGCAAAAAACTTTTTTTTTTTTTTTTTAGAAGCCCATCTTAGAAATAAATGGAGAAGGGCTCTCATATTGGTGATATGGACTGCTTAGAAGTCTATTTTTCATAGATTGCTCCTCAAAAAATGCAGTTTTTATAACTGACTTTGAGTGATGGATGGCACAGAGGCAGCTTTCTGAAATGGAAAAGAGCAGCGGCTGACGTGAGGAGGCTTACTCAGGCCACTCAACCAGTAAAGCTGATTAACCCTGTAACTTGTCTCATGGCTCAGGCAAGACACTCTCAGAGCAGAGCCTTTTGATGACACTTTTATCAAGGTGGGAAATATCTTTCTGGATTGTGAACCTTGCAAAGACTGGTTATCAGAAAATAGGAGTATAGCAGAGAAGAGAATTGGCTGTTGTAGGAGAAATGGACAACTGAGTTTCAAACACCTGATAAAGAAAGAGGGAACCTTGAGAGGCGTGGAGGTAGTGTTGGTTTATTATTGCTGGATATCAATGTCCATCAACTTCTCCCTCTTTTTTTTTTTTTTTCCTCCTCTGTGATGAAATTGACCTTGTTTCAACTCCTTTTCTCTTCCTCTCTGCTTCCCAAGTGAACAGAAGTAATGTCTTGAGTACAAGAAGAGCAGGGAAATAATCTTTTTTCCTTCATCTTCTATATACAAACGTTTCAGATAACCAGTAGACACCTATTTCTTGTGCCATTGTTCAAAAAAAAGGTCTTAGTTACTTGCATAATATGGCAATAACTAAAACTTCTCTACATTTTAGAAATTAGCATTGCTACCTTGAGCAGAATACATTTTGTGTTTGTTGCAAGTGTGAAGAAACTAATAATTTAGTAAATTCACGGACTGTCGTGATAGTAGCGTAGCTGTCCTACTGCTGCTGTGTTCCTGAGCTACAGTTTTAACGACACTTAACAGAAGTAGATGTTTAGTTATTTCTAACAGTCAGTGGACTTTAGTTCCCCTTCCCTATACTGCTTATAAAATACTTGCCTCAGGCTTGACAGAGCACATGGAAATATTGAATTACATGACTGATGAGGAACTCATCGTGTGCAAGGTTGGATGAGGCTTTGAGCAACCTGGTCTAGTGGAAGGTGTCCCTGCTGATGGCAGGGGGGTTGGAACTAGATGATCTTTAAGGTCCCTTCCAATCCAAACCATTCTATGATTCTATTCTATGAGTCTGTTTTATTTTCTACTTAATCTGCAATGAGGGTTAACCAGCGTGACATACATGTTTATATCGATATAATTTATGTAAATTGTAATTGTTGCTTTTACAATTTTGGTGCCATATATGAGACCTTTGAGTTTTACTGGGGAGGACAGTGTACTATAATTTCAGACTAATAATAAAAACAGAGAACTTGTTTTTCTAGGTTTTCCTCTTGTAGATTTCTGTGATTGTTTTGGAGGCTGTTGTGGAATCACAAAATAGAAGTAACTTAAAGGTGGATTATGTGCAGTTTTATGACATCTTGTACTTGAATATAATAAACTATTTTAATGTGTTAATTTTTCAACTAGAAACGTCTGAAAGCGGCTGAAGCGGAAAGTAAATTGAAACAAGTATACATCCCCACCTAGTGAGTATAACAATAAAGTAATTTTTTTAATAAAGTACGGGTAAAACTGACACAGTAACTTGTGGTATTTTTTTAGTCATCTTTTTAATAGTTATGTTCTAAATATTTCAGACAAACAGAATATACAGAAATATAATCAGAAAATGCCAAAACCTCTTGCCATAAGTGAAACTTTTGTACTTAACTGAGCCCATTGTCTTTGACCTGCAAACTGCCTGTTCTGGAACGGTGAGAAGTTTTACAAAAGGTGATTGAGTGCTACGTGTGCTGCTCACATGCAAGAAGGACCTTGTAATTTAAAAAGCAGTTTTTCCAGAATAATTGCTTATGAATCCCTGTAACACAACACTTCATATTTGTGTAAATACAACACTTCAAAATAGAAGCAGTTGTTACTGTCGTTACATAAAATATTCTTTCCCACTGCAGTTTTATCTTGCTAATACAGTCTGTTCTTCAGCTAGAGACAAAAGATGTTTTGGCTGTAAATTAAAGGTAGCACACAGCCCAAAATCTTTTATCTTTGAACAGCTCTAATTAATGAAATTGTTTTTTTCTGGGGGGTTTTAAATCTTTTTTTTTAGATCTAAAGTCCATGGTATATCTGCTTTGTTAACATGTAGTTCACAGAAACTAGATATAATCTGTCTCTCATATTCATAATTTCCTCAACATTATGAGAAGAGAAAAGATTACAGATGGCATTATTTTAGGCTTTCTTTAGGTATATTCAGTTTATATATATTTGAATTTCCCATTGTTATGAGTGTTTGTATAATGGAAGACTAGAATACCAGATGAAATACTTTGAAAATCTGCTGTTGTCATTTTGATGATTTGTATAAATTACATACAACAGAGCTTAATTTCCAAATTTCATACAGACTTTTTTCTCTTAAACTGATTTAGCAATACAGACAACAGACTGGTAAATTCAGTCTTGAAATCTGATCTCTGAAAAAATGTTATGAGTTTTGAAGCTCAAGTGTCTAATAAATTATGCCTTTTAAAAAAAGCAGAAAACTCTAGTATGAGCGTTCCCTAACCCTCTCAGGGAAGTAGCTGCTTTGGGAGAACTGTAAGATGCTCAATCTTTACATAATGCTTTTTCAATTTAATTTCCTTGGTCCATGTGGACAATTCAGGACTTTTGCCAGTATGTTGATAGTAGGGACTAGTTGTGTTTGATGCCAAAATCTGTTTTGAAATGTAGTATTTTTGCAATTTTTATCTTTCTTACCATTTGTCTTTTGTCTGTATGTCAAGGCAAAATCCATAGTCAGTGGTAAGGAGGTGGTAGGACTTCTCAAGTCTCTGGTAACTGTGCAGTGTGGGGCACTCATGGGCGAATGGATTGCTAGTGCTGTTTCAAGACTGATTTATTGTATTTAAAGCCTGTGTAGAATTGATTCTCAGAGCTCAATACCTTTTTGAACTTCATCATAAGGTATTTCCTGTAAAAGCAATGATTTGTTCTCAGTACCAGAGGATCCCTTTCAGTTCATGGCTTCTTTGGAAGGTAACTAAGCAACAGATCATAACATGGGAGACTCGATCATCTCTCCATCCCTTCTCATGTACCTTGAGTCCAAGATGCTTAATAAAGAGTATCTGGAAATGTTAAAAGTGTCTCTTACTGGATATAGTGAAAAAGCAGAAGGCAGATTACAGACTTCCTGGTATTTGGAGCAGAGACTTGATACAGCAAAGGTTTCTTCAATTAATCGTTTTAACTAATCTTGAGTATATTTTATGCTACCTAAAGTAACGAATAATCATCTTAGGAATCAATGTATTCCAGCCTTGCATTGTACTGAGAGTATAGCTTGTCAAAGGGATAATTAATACCCACAATGTTGGAGCTTTGGAAATGCTGTACTCAACCCAGTGAGGGGTGTATTAATTGCCTCTGAATTAACTAACCTGTGAAGTCTTACTTCAGTGAAGTATTAGTAGGTACAATAATCACAAAAATAATATTAAAAAAAAAAATAAATCCCAAACCAGTTTCAGCCTTCTCAGAGAGTAAGTAGTTTAGGACAGAACCCAGGCAGAACACTCTGATATTATATGGGTGAGCTTTGCCAGGGTTAAAAGATATTCACATTTACTGCAGTCTGTGGGAAGATATGTACTTCTGCTTGAGATAGGAGGCAGCAGACTGTCTTCTAGCATGGACAGCCTTGTAGTATTATAGGCAGTGTTACTACTCTTACTTGTTATCCTTCACCCAGAGTCCAGCCTCGCCTTGTAAAACCTCACCTGTTGACTGGAACCCCCTTCTTAAATTCTCTGCTGTGTCAGGCTTTTGTTAATGCTTGACCCCAAGACTTGGTCTTTTACTAGCTTGCCAAGTAGCTTAGACTATGTGAGAGCATTTTACAAAGAACTTGAGTATCAAAGCAGCTGTTTATAAATAGCAAGTCTGTTACAGTGCTGAAAATACTGGAGGAGTATAAAAATTAGTCTTGTTGTTTAGAGCAGATTTTACAGATGTTGTCACCACACATCAGAATTCCAAGATTAGGTTGTTTGTTTTTGTGTTGAGTAACTGGTTAGTAAAATAACTTTTTTCCTTTTTTTTTTTTTTTTTTTTAAATTTAAAGTAATAAACCAAATCCCAATCAAATATCCAGCAACAATGGGAAACCTGCTGCAGTCAATGGAGCAATGGGAGCCTCTTACCAGGCACAAGCCTCACTAATAGGTCGGGCTTGTGAAAGCTGCTATAGTAAGTAACTTTTTAATCCTGGAGTTTGGGCTAATCTTAATATGACTGGGTTTTTTTTCAAAACAAATGTATGTACTTTTGTTTGCATGCTATAGAAGGTAATTTTCAATGACTTGTATTGCAGAAAAAACTTTTAAGTTAGAGCTGCCTTCAAAATGTTGATTAAATGTCAACATTCAAATCCACTTTGTTACTTTTTTTTTTTTTTTTTACAATTCAGAAAATACAGAAAGATAAAGTAATATAATATGATGGCACTGATATGTTATGCCTTTACTTTCAGAATACTAGCTTCAGATTTATTTTTGATTCTCCTGTAAGGCTGCAGGGGTTTTGAGTTGTTTTTTGGGGTCTTTTTCCCTGCTCTTTTGTTGTTAGGGGACAGGGGGAGGACATGTTGTTTTTTTCTAGTACTTTCTATGTCCATATTTGTATAAGAAAGTTCTAGTTATATACTTCGGGGTTTTTTCAAATCACATTTTTAAAATAATAGTTTTCTTATGAAAGATTACAAAAAGGAATGAAAGAAAGATTAAATTAGTGTTTCCTTTGCTGAGTCTCCACATGTACAAGATAAAGGTACATATGCCTCTTCAAGGTCAATAGGAGATGTGCTTCTCCTTTTCTTATATGAATGTTGATTTATAAGTACTCACTTTGCATGACTTGAGAAAAAAAAATCCCAGATCTTAAGTAATTCTAATAAGTAACAAGCAACTTAATCAGCCTGTCTTCCAGGGTAAGATTAGAAATAGTGGAGAATTTATAGGGCTTTTGCTTGCTTTTTGTTTTGTTTTGTTTTTGTTGTTAGTCCCCTGGAAGAAAATTTCTTGGCAATACAGAGTCCCTGGTTTGAAATTCAGTAGGGAAGCATTTTCAAAATCTCAGTTTGGAGTTGACTTCAGAGTGTGCTTTTGTAAAAAATAGATCAACTGAAAATTCAAGTTCTTATTTTTTTCCATGTCAAATGTATTAAATATGTATCGATATAATACTCTTACAATGCCTTATATTATGGCAGTATAAAGCCATCTGTTACCACATTTGGATTTATTATGTTGAATTTAGCATGCACCAGTTTACCTGTGCTGTTTTTTCCTCCTTAGCTCCACAGTCTCACCAGTGGTATTCATGGGGTCCTCCTAATATGCAGTGTAGATTGTGTGCATCTTGCTGGATTTATTGGAAGAAATATGGTGGCCTGAAAATGCCCACACAGACAGATGAAGATAAACTGTCTTCTAGCCAACCTGCAGAGGTAGGATTGTGTAGATAAACTTTCCTAAAATGAAATATGATGCTTTCACAAGACTGCTGTGATTTGAATATTGAATGGAATGATTTTTTTTATGTATGTGTTCAACTCTGGTTTTACAAAACTCAAGTTATTAATCCTTCTCCTGTCTTAAGTAGAACTGAACAGCGTGCAGGTCCTGCCATGACTTTATTTGACTTAGATAAACAGACATCCACAAATGTCGTCTTGTCAATCTAATGATGTGTTATCTATAAAATGCTAATATGACTATACAAGATCTAATCTAGAATGGCATTATACATCCATTCACAATAGAGTTTTCTACTCTGTTTTACAGTTTCATAAGTTTTTTGTTTAGTGCTTGTACATATTATTTGATTAGCCCTGTGGATTTATCCAAACTGTAGATTTTTTTTTTTTTTTTAAGTGCTGTAATTCAGATGTATGTGTTATGATTTTTTTTGTTTGTTTTGTTTTGTTTATTTTTTGTAGGAGTCCCATGTTAGAACTCACATGTCCCGGCAGGCCACACAGGGAACTCCAGTTCGTAACACTGGAAGTCCAAAGTCGTCAGTGAAAACACGTCAAGCTTTCTTTCTACACACAACCTGTTGGACAAAACTGGCCCGTCAGGTCTGCAAAAATACCCTCCGACTGCGGCAGGCAGCAAGACGTCCCTTTGTCCCTATTAACTGTGCTGCCATTAAGGCAGAATGTAAGATGTTTTTTTAATTCTTAGTTCTGTGTGCTGTGCTTCCCACCCATTTTTGTCTTTTAATTTTATTTTCTTTTTCAATAAACATTTCTTGTCTATACACTTTCGCTTTTCATTTTTTTCATTTGTCCAGCATATCACCAACACATTGAATAATGTCTGGCTTCCTTGAACAGATTTCACGCTGAGGAAACATTTCAAGTGAACTAAAAAGGGGATGATAACTGTTGCCTCATTCACCCACAAAATTGTTGTTAAAAACAAGCAGGGGCAGGGAGGGGAAATCAATGCTGTGACACAAAAAACATGCTTCCTACCTACCAGGCAGAGTGAAAGTAGTTCGCTTTTATATGTTCATTTATTTTGCTGAGTAGAAAGTGTCAATCTGTACATGTTTTGGTCAAAGAATGAGGAGCCGAGGATGCATAAGAATTTAAATCTGGCCTCTATACAGCCCTTTGTTACTGTGGTGATCAGATGGTGGTGATAGCCATGTTTATTATTACATCATGGTTGCATCTTTGATTTTTTTGTCTGTTCCAGTTTTAAATTTTAGTTTTAAATAAAATTCTGTATTGTGCTTGTTCTTTTTGTAGCCAAAGTATAAAGAACTGATAAATTCACTAGTAGTATGACAAAAGGTTATGAGTTGCAGATAGCAACAGTGAGTCTCTTTATGTACATATATGTGTAAGTTCTGCTGCAAAGTCACTGAATATTCCAACAGGTTTTGTATCTGGGCTGACATGTTGCTTTACTGCTCACGCTGTTTGGTTGTGTTTCCTGGTTTTCCATGGATGCAGTTCTTTGAGCAGACACTTGGTATTCCAAGATGAGCTGTGCTGGCTCGTTGTACTGTCAATTGTATTAGAATTGAAGAGACGTTTTTAGAGTATTAGATGATGGTTTTGTAACTATGTTTACTAGATTAACGCTACATGTTTTCCCAGCATATTTAACTGGGATGCTGATGTCAGTGTTGACTGTAAAAAATTTACTTCATGAAGGCTTAAAATCTGGTTTTGAGTAATTATTTTCCCCTTATGTACTTTAACACCAGCCATTCTTCACATACATACTCTTCACCTACTTCTTGCAATCATCCAGAACTTGGTGAATATTTCTGTTTGTTGTCCTTGTCTTATTTATTTAGTTGTCCTGTTGGCCAGTTTCTTTCTTCTTTCAAAGGTGTGCAAGTCAGGAGCAGCTTTTCATATTGAAGGAAACTGTATGTCCACTGTGTGAATAAAAGGGGTTGTACTTTAGGAAATAAGTGTGTCTTAGACTGTACTAGGATTGGATTTTTAATCCTTCATACAAAAAAAGAGAGAAAAGCATTGTACCTTTTAATTTATGTAATTGGCACTGATTTCTGCGGAATCATGGAGGAAACTTAACTTTAGAAGTTCACTTGAACCTGGCATCTTTTTATCCATATCATTGTTTCTTGTCACTCACTGCAGTAACTCAGTTCGACAGAAGATGAAACCTTGTTTAAGGAAGAGAAAAAATAGAAGCAAAAAAAAGTTTCATCTAACTGTTAAACATCATACTAGAACAAGTGTTATATAGACAGTTCAACTTTAAAGCAAAGGAGTGAAAAGCTGAGCTAGCAGGAAATAGTCATTCTTGTATCAGACTGGCAGTGCTGTGAGTGCTTCCTCTGTTCCTTTGAATGAAAAAGTGCCGCAACAAATTGACATCAAAAGCAGAAAGATATTTTTTCCCCTGTAGGCTCTCTCTGTCTTTCATTATTCTTTTTGCTTAAAGCAAAATATGGACTTTGTGATTTTGTCTTTTTGAATGCTGACCTGACATAGAGTGAAAAAAAGCAAAAACAAAAACCACAGTTGCCAATGCTTTTTGAACACAACATTAAAATTATCTTATAATAGTGGAAACCAGGTTATACCTCATTTCGTTAATTTAACTCATGTTTCTCTGTGTGTACACACACACACGCGCATGTGCATACTCTCCTTCTGACAGTCTCTCTCTGTAGAACCATACAGTGCTCTTACCTGCATTGTCATTGATGTGTTCTTACTCTAGTAGAGCCTAGTAAGTAAGTAAATAAACCCATTGTTTTCTAGTTTTGTTCCTGTACTTGTATCTGGTGACTTGTGTTCAGTGCACTCCATACATTTCAACGTTACAACTAAATAAGCTTTCCCTTCCTGATAATTCCTTAAATCCTTTTCTAAGGATAGCTTGATGCAGGTAATTTTAAATTTTTTAAAATTTTTTAATGAGATATTTAACTAACAGTAATTATTTCATATGTTGAATACCACTGAGTAATTACAATATTGAATGAATGTCTGTGTTGGTGTTACAAAAGTTGCAGTCGTGTTTAGATAATAACCTGGCCAGAGTAGCAGATCATCCATGATGTGATATGGTATGAGATGGTTAGGACGTCCAAGAACTGTTCAGAGTTTGTGCTGAAACTCGAATCTAATGACTGCTTAGATGCTTTGCCAGACTCACCTGACTCTTTGCGTGTGCCAAACCAGTGCTTGAAAACATACCTACATTTCACAACTATATTGCAGTAGGCACCATACCAACACTCAGAAACCATAAAATCTAAAGACAGGGGGACGGTAGGGTGCTTACCCCAGCAGCATACCAGGTTTTATGTCTTCTTAGTCTTATGCAATTTGTTGAAGTGCCAGGTTGTAAATGAAACTAATTCCCAGTTCTGAGAGAGAAAGTCTGAACAAGCCAGTCAGAGCTTGCTCATATAATAAATTGATTTTTGCATTCTACCTGAACTCATCTGCTGATTCTTTTGTCTTGGAGGAGTACAGAAGCATTTGAGAACACTAACCTCAGGCCCAACCATCTTCTAAGTGAAACCAGATTTCAGGCAAAGCATTTTTTTATTATTGTAATTCCACTCACATCATCCTCGGCCCATTACATCCACCGTCAGAAAACAAGATCCTATTCTGTGTTCTTTATTCCTTCAGTTAGTGCAGAGAATTAGATTTTTCTCACTAATGAACCATGTAGCCTGACCCCTGCTCAGGTGCCAGCAGGAGATAGTGGAGACGGTGCATTAACATCCCTGTTCAATCTAGGGATGGTCATCAGGAGATTGAGGAGGCACAGCATCTCCTGCTAGGAGTACAATTCATCATGGAAATCTCAGACTTTGTGCTACCTGGAGACTCACTGTAGTTGTTGACAATAAAGCTGTTTGATGGATTTTCAGGAATAATTAGAATCGGTGAACTGTGTGGGTAAGAGGAAATTCCCATGCTCTAAATTAGGCAAAATACCTTCTTTTTAATTTGAATATATTGCATGTTTATTAGAAAGTTAAGCAAAACTATCCTGTCTGTGGAAGGTCTCTTAATTAGAGGAAACCAAAGTGGGCATTCTTCTCCAGACAGTCACTCCAGATCTGTTTCCAGCTTACAAGCATGTTGATCTATGCGTGGCAGTGAACCATGCGTCTGGGAACCTTATTACTTCAGCACAGGCAGATTTTTGAGGGTTTTTTTTTTCCCCTGCTCTGATACAGTTTTATCAATAGAACTATATGTATTAATTATAGTAATTTAAATTTGAGTAACTACACTCCAGCTATGTAGACATGATTGTCAAAATGTTTTCAGTGGATGGTAATACCTCTATAATATCCATATAGTTATCTGGAAACGGGTATACTGTTCATGATCAAAACTTAACATACCTTTAAATCTGCAGATTTGATAACAAATTTAGTACAGAGTACTTGCTGGTTGCGATCTGGTTTGATAAAACAAAGGCAAGTGATAATGAAGTAGAATATGCAAAATATTACTGCTTTGTCTTTGTAAGCATATTGCCTGTGTTTTATTGATAGAAAATTACCCATTCATCTGAAGTGAGTAACATTTATGGGTACTGATTCACAGTGTTTTACATCCATGATTTGGAGAGCTACAGAAGATTTTTTTATCTGCATCTAGGATGAAAATATTTTCTCTACTGTCATCTTCAAATACAATTTGTTCCAGGTTTTAGTAGCCAGTACAATAATTAAAAGAATACACTTTTTTTTCCCCAAAGTTTCTAATAAGAATACAGTTCAGGGAATACATGGAGTACAGTACATTCATTAGATAATCTGAATTTGGATAGAGGTATGTTGGAATGTCAATGAGAAATAACTCCCCAATGAGAGTCTCTCTAATCTTGAGACCTACAAGTCTAGTTTAAAAAAAAGAAATAATTAAAAAACCTTTACAAATGTAAAAGAACAAGCCTCATTCACTGTCATATTCTCCACAGCATTCCTGATGTTGTCGTCCTCTGCAATACCCACAGCAGTCATCACTTTTCTGGGTTACGAAGTGTTAAAGCTGTTTAAAACCTCATAAAGAATCCATTTTGCACTGTGGTTGGTAATGATGTTCCCTGGAGTTTTTCTAACTGTACTGTATCGTCTTTAGGGTTATGGTGCCCCAGATTACATGCACTTCAGGTTTCCTATAATTTTAGAGAGTGTCACGTGTTTTCTATTTTCCTATCATCATAATTTCTAATATTCTGATTTTAATTTATTTTTAAGTGATCACTCTTTAGTATTGTCTAGATATTTTTAGAAAACTGTTGACACTGACTCCATGAACTCTCTTCTGCATGATGGTGGTGTAGAACCCATCATTATATCTGTATGTTATAGTCATTTTACCCCTCAAGAATTAATTTACATGTATTCCTTGATGCTGCTGATATCCTTTGCAATCAGTTTTAGCTTGGATTATGCTCACAAAACTTTTATCAGGAAACTTTAACTCTCTGATCATCTCTTTTCCTGATATTTTGTGTGTTGAACAGCACAGATTCTTTGGGGATTACATAGACAATTTATTTTAATTAGGTGTTAATCCCTGAAAACAACCTCTTTTACCCTGTAGCAGCTGGACGGCAACGGTCTTTGGTGACAAAGTTTGTTAAACACTATTTGAAATGTCAAGTTGAATGCCAGATCAGTTGCATGTGTACATGTCACCATTCCTTCAGAGGATCCTGGCAGACCTGTGACAGTCATGGGTTTACAGGACATGTAGGTAGGAAGGGACCTCTGAATGTCTCTCATCCCACCCCTGCAGAAAGCTCAAGTGCTCAAGGTCTTTTGTCCAGATGAGATTTGTGTGTCTCCAAGGATGGCAACTCCATGGCTATTCTGGCAGAACTGTTCCAGTGTTTGATCAACCTCACAGTAAATAATTTTTCCCTAACATCTAACGAGAATTTCCCACCTCCCAGGTTGTGTCTGTTGCCACAGGTCGTAATGTTATATTGTCCTGTCCCTACATGTCTTTGTGAAGGGTCTGGCTTAGTCCTCTCTATGCGCTGCCACTGAGTAGTTAGAGGTGGCGATCAGGTCTCCCCTTGACCTTCTCATCTCAAGGATGCCCAGACCCAGTTCCCTCAGGCTCTCCATGTACATCTTATACTCCAACCACAAACCAGACTCTCCAATAGCTGGACTTTCCCCAATTGTCCCTATCTTATTCATAGTGGAGACCCCAGAAGCTGACACAGGATCTAGAGGTGGTTTCACAAGGGTTAAGCCGGGGTGAAGGGTTATCTCCCTCACCCTGCTGCCTGCGCTTGGGCTAGCAAGACCTAGTATGCGGCCGTCCTTGTTGCAAGGACACACCACAGAATAGCGCAAACACATTAAACGTGTTTTCCCTTTACAAGGTCTTTGTTGGCTCCCTTGATGTTTCTGTATTTAACTGTGTGCCTCTATTAATAGTTCAACCCTTTTGCCAGTCTGCAGACCTACTTACTGAAGAATGTTATCACATTTGCCGTGTTTTTGTTCCCTTGAACCAAAACCAGTTTAAGCATTAGTTTAACACCAGTAATGTACATGCTTGACAGTTTCTGTTTGGATGAATTCCACCTGGTCCCAGTAACAAGTTTTTATTCATTAACTAGTTTGTTTTGAAATATTTCCTATGGACACTTTCATGTGACACAGTTCTCACACTTTCCACGTGAAAAGGTTTTGGAAGTGAGCTTGCTTAAGTTCTTCTGCAGTCAAGGTGGCTGCAAAGAATTCGTTCAGCTTTTCTGCCATGCCTTTATCTTCCTTTTGTATTTTCCTCACACCCTGATCATCTCCTATTGCTACAGGCACTGGCATACTTTCTGCTTTTGATATATTTGAAAAAAACAAACTATCAAATGTAATAAAAAATTAAAATACATTTTTATTTCTCATAGTGTCCACTATTTCACTGATCTTACTAAGATTTTTAATGTTCATGTGGAAGCCCGTAGTTGATTTTAGGACTTTTAAAAAATTTTGGTTTTGACAACTGCTTACTTAAATTTTATTCTATGATTTTACACTTAAGAGTGATGCACAATCTGACTTCGTATTTTTCTGTATATAGTGCATAAAGATCATTAACTTTATAATATTTTTACTTGGAGTACCATATTGTGGATTAAAGTTTGCTGCTGTTGTACATATTTAACTGTTTTAATAGATTGCTGTGCTTTGGAATACCCACCCGGTACCTTTGGTGAACATGCTTTGCCTCAAGCAAGGAAATTGTACTCTCTTTGGAGTCTGTATTCTCAGTAAGCATATTAATATCTCACCATGATTCAATGTCTTCTTTTACAGTGAAGACACGTAGATGGAAAAATCTTCTTGCTAATTACTTCTTAGGCAATGCTTTGCTGTTCCCAAAGTAGCTATAAAATACTCACTGTATAGTCTGTGCTTGTTTTACTAAGGGAGACAGTGGAGACACATCATTCTACTCTGTCACTTAAAATATTTCAAGTGTTGTGGAGTATTAAAAATATTCCAGGCACTAGGTTCAGCGCATTTTTTTCACTGAGAACAGTATATTTTGTTATTAAGGTAAAATAATAAAGTCCTTTGTGTAGTTGGTGTTAGGGCTCTGGAACCTTTGGGCTGCTCAGATACCAGCTACCATTTTTGCTTAGCACAGTAAGAATTTGAAGTAGTTTTCTTAATACTTATACTTGGAACTAAGTTGTGCATTGTCTGCTGCGTTAAAAACATCTGTGAACATACTGAAATACTTATTTCAGTCATTCCTGTGGTTTCATGGCCTGCAAGTTTTTTACACATAGCTAGATAGAATACATAGAGATTGTAAATTTGGGGTTTTTTTTCAGATATAAATTGTTCCATAGGATGTCTTACTCTCTTCATGTGCCTGTGTACTCCATATCTTGTACTTCAATGAAACAAACGAGCATTTTGGTAAAACAGAAGGTGGAAACAAAGTGGAATTACAATTATAATCTGTTTATAATATCTAGCTCTTGTAAAGTTTATTAGAAAATGAACATCTGTATGTGCACATGTGAAACCTGTACAGAGAAAGGTGTACACATATGTGTGTATGTATACATGGAAGTAATTCTGTATGAGGGAATTCTAGACCTACACAGTCAACACTGAACGGAATCTTGTAGAAAATGGAATATCTGTGTTCAAGGGATACTAGAAGCCCTATATGGGGATTACTTGCGTGCATCTGGAAGACAGACAATCCAATCATTCTCAGTAGTTGAAAAAAAAGGTAGCATAGTTCCAGTAGTCTTGAAACTATTTACTGAAACCTAATGTCTTGTGAATTTTTGCCTTAGGTTGATTGACTCTGCTGTCAAAGCGTGAACTTCTTCACAGTAACACTTCTGTGTTTGGGCATTTAGACAGATTCTCTGGTTGTGTTTTCACAGTGCCTTTTAAGCTATGAGTTCATAGTTTCAGCATCAAACTAAGGTAGTTACTGAACTGCTTATTTTCATTTACTTTGCAGGAGGCTCCTATCTTTGTGAGACTTTTGAGCTCTGTTACACTTCCTTACAATTGACCTCTGTTGAAAAGTTTTACAGTAAAGGGGTTTTTGGGGTTGGTTTGGTGTTTTGTTTTGGTTTTTTTAAGCTTCATCTTGCCATGATTGCCCCTGTATTCTGTTTTACTTATTAAGAATTATATGAATAACTGTACCATGTGAGTAATACTTGACCAAAATCAGTAGTCCCAACTTTAAATCCGTCTTACCTCTGTATTTCTCCATTTAGGGCCACACAGGCTTGTAGAATACAATGAAGAATTCCACATAAATCATTTTTAATAGCCAGAGCTGCTTTTATTTTAGTACTCGTGTTTTCATCTGTGTTTCATTTGCCTAGCTGGCTGTCTCCAGAAAGATTTTTGTAGGCAAAAAATGCAATCAGATTTGTGTTAGAAATTGTATTAACTTTTTTTTTTTAAAAAAATCACATTGCTTGCATGAATGAAGACATGCCTTGCCTTTAAATATCTATCATTATTAGCACTGAAGAAAAAAAGAGGAGTATGTGCTAAAATGAAAAAATAAATTTGTGGTAAAAATGTAAGTCAAACTGATTGGTGCATCCTATTTGTATTTGTAATGATAGAAGATTTAAACTGAGTTTCATTCTTTAAAATTCTCAGATGCAGATCGACATTGTGAAGTTGCTGGAAATCCTCTGAAGATCAAAAGTACCAGAAAACCACTGTCATGTATCATTGGGTATCTAGGTGGGTATCTGCCTCCTGAGGAAAAAAATAATCAAATGAAGATTCAGTATTTAGTGATACTTAAGAATCCTGTGTGCATAGAATGAGATATTTATGCCTGGAGTAAAAAGAAAACTGTAGCATTAATAAATTAATAAAAATTCTGGTCTGCTATCAGTTGCAGAACTGGATGATTGAACTTGCAGGATGCAGGCAGAAGGGCTGGTTTAAAATGGCAGAGTGAAGCCTGATGTAATTTAGAATGTGAAAAATATTCTGGTATTCTAAATAAATAAGCACTCAAAGGGGACTTGAGACACTCAGTGTGCTCAGTGGTGCTCTACTGTGTCCCTTGAATCCACTTGTAATACTCCCATGTACTTCAAAGGAGCAGACTTCAGCCACAGTGAGATACTGATCTCTTAATTTGATGATATAATTTTTAAAAATGCAATGAAATCTGTACTGAGATCATAGCCAGGAGGTCAAAGTACTCACATAAAATAATAAGGAGAGGAGAAATTCTAGTAGTTGTAATTCCTTATTTAAAACATTAAAGTAGTTCTCTGCAAGGAACCACCACTGACTATTAAATATTTACATAATAATATGAGAGGTGGGTTACCCCAGAGGCTTTATATTAATCCTCAAAAGAATATAGAAATCAGTCCATTGATCAGAGCAGCAGCAAATAATTTTGCAGTGTGTTATTCCCATTCTACAGAAATAAAGTTGAGGGTGGAATAGTGGAAATGTTTTTCTCAAAATGTCAATCAACAGGAGGTTTATTTTGTTCTCAAACAAAGTAAACGATAACAGTTTCTTGACTTACTGAAATAGAAATCAGCTATTAATGTAGTTATAACTGTTCTTCCAGAACATAGAATTTAACAAAATCCAAACTTCAGAACGCTGGGTAATGAAGAATTAATGCCCATTCTCACTTACTTTTGATTCCTCCTGCCCTGGAGTTTAGGGAAAAAGCCCATGATAATTTCCTACAGGCATCCCAGCTGTGTGTGTTACCAATGTCATTCGAGTGAATGAGGAAAGGACTGCTGTGATTGACTTGGTGGAGCTGTGTCTGTGGGGGAGTGGAATCTGGCAGGAGAAGGATGGTTCATCTGGCTGACCCCGTTCAGGAAGGCAAAAGAAGAAATGTCAGCTTGTTGTGTAATCTTAGAAGATACTGTGTGGTTTTAGTTATTTAGGTGATGAGGAGTTATCTTGATACCCCTGGGACCATAAGTCTGTAGGTTTAACAAGAGTAAATGGATGAACAGTGTCAGACAGCATTATGTGTACTTAGGTGAGGGTTTTGTAGAAGATTAACAGTGCTAAAATATACCAGGTATCTGTAGAGTCGCTTAGCATTTGTCTGTATGGGGAGTGAAGGTATCTCGCTACAGTTGAAGGTAAATAATAAGTGTTGCAGGGAAATGAAGTGGACCAGTGTAGTTATGGACATGCAACTGAATTCATTGTATAAGGATGGCTGGAAAATGGCTTTTTGTTTGCAATTTAGCTTGGTGGTGGGGTTTTTTAGTTTAGTTTTTGTTTGTGATGTTTGTTTGCATGTTCCAGTGAATAAGTAATGCATTATTTTTCTCAAAATTTGGCATTAACTGTCATGTCATAGCTTATACAGAAGGTATTTATTTTCTTTTAAAAATTCCTTCCATGCCATTCCTACAGACATTTGTTGGTATACTGTTAACTGTGTCTCTCAGGGCCCTACTGTTCCCAGAGCTACTGGGAAGGCAGAGAGGGTTTCAGTGCCCTGCACATCCTGGGTCATTACTTCCCTCTATCCCTGCTCTGTTTCTTGGCTGTCAGTTCCTCAGGTGAGGTAGGTTAAGCATTAAAAAGTAGGCCCTGTCCTCTAGAGAGCTGGGGCTAATCCCCTGTTAATCTCTTCAGTCGTCAGTGCTCTTACTAAACAAACCCTCTAAGGGGAACTCCTGGCTAATTAAATGTCCTGTGTTACCTCCTAGTTATGAGGAAACCAGGCTAACGTTTCCAGCTGGAGTGCATGGTGAGGAAATGAGAGAGAGGTGCAGCTGTCTGAGCACCTCTGGAATCCAGGATGCTTATTTAAGCAACTCAGTAGGAGACTTTGACTTTTCTTTTTTTGCTCTGCTTTTCTTTTTTTTTTTTTTTTTCTTTTAACCCTAGTGACATTAGTGGAAATAGAAGTTTTTAGAGTTGTTATTGCTAATTACTTGTTTGAGGCTGAAACTTGGTCTGAAAAAGAAAGGTTGTTTAAGTATTATTTCTTATTCCTGTTTTTATTTCAGAAATGATTGTATAATCTGAATCTGGACAACTGGTTAGTTGTTGTGTGGCTAAAGGGATAATTTGGATTATTTGGATGTTATAGTTTGTTCTCTGAGTTAGTGGAAGGTACAGGTGGCTAGGAGATTTTCAGTGAAGTACTAGTCAATAGAACAAAGATGCAGGAATTAGAAGATCCCTAATTACTATTATTCCATAATACAGTAATGTGATAGGGTAATAAAATTCAGGCAAAAACCCTGAACTGCCTCATTACCTCTCTCGGGGGTGACGAAGCAGCTAGTTAGACAGTGCTGATCCAAAGCATGCAAATACTTGAAGCAAGTCTCTATGTAGAGGATGAGAGTGTACAGTGTAAAGACCTTACAGGAAGGACTCAATCCATTGGGAAGTGGTCCTAGCTGTTTAATTAAGCTATTTCTAGAAGTTAAAAGGAGACCTTGGTCTTGCTACCTTCCTCTACTGCAGAAAAAGAAAAGACAGCCTTTGTGGTAAACTAACAGAGGATTACTGACCTCCAGACTAAAGAAAAGTCAAAGTAAGGAAATGCTTCCTTCAAATGCTTGCTCATCCTGAAAATACAAAATTATATCTAGTGTACACTGTAGACAGAGGCAGTTTACAAGTTCTCGTATGTTGATCCAGCTGCTGGGATTATTGTGCATGCTGCTGGAGCTCTTTGGCAAATAAGATAATATTTTAATGGTGTTAGCCCTGAAAATTAATCATTTCCTTCAGAAAATTGGAAAAGGTTGCCCAATGAACATTTTAGAATCCAAATTCCAATAATCTTCAGCAAACAGTGTAAACCTTTCTATTTCAGTTGAAAGTTTTGCTTTAACAATCAGTAGAGTTCATAACGTAAAGTACATCTCTGTTCCATTTTAGTAAAAATGCAAAATAGATGCTTGTTCCTACAGCATGAAAAATGGACTGTGCTGGGAGCTTGATGTTCCTAAACTCTTTTATATGAAAAGCAGATGAGTACTGCAGTGAATGGCAGTAAAAAGCTCTCATCTGAGTAAGTGGTGAGAAGATCAGTGACATCAAACTGACCTTTACACACACACCCCCAAATCTACAGGGCTGCCTTGAAGCAATTACCTGTACCCAAGCTCTGTCGTATTCTAACACCTGCCCGTGCATTACCCTACTCTACTTTTTCTAATCTGACCCTCTTGAAGCATCTTGGATGAGGTTGTTCATGCTTTAAGAGCATGGTTGCAAGCTCTGAACAAAACAGTGGTTAACAATTGAGCAAAGTCTTTTCAAATGTGAAGAAGGTTGTTGGTGTTGCCTCCTCCTGGCATGCTGTTCCCAATACAGCCATCCTGCAGCCATCCTACTCCTTTCCACCTGTTGGGATACTGATGAAACTATTTGGCTGTCCTGCCTTTCTATTTCTGCCTTTTAAAGGTTATCGTGACTGTTATGGCAGCTCACCCCCAGCTTCTCCTGCAGCCACGGCTGGTTGCCAGTAGGGCTGAGTGGGCTGAGTGCCCGCGGGCTGCGTGGGAAGGATTCCCTGGGAGCCAGAGCGTCAGGCTGGGCAGGCGAGTGCTTGGATATCGGATTTCCTTGGCATTTGTGAAAGAGGAAAAATCTGCTATCGCAGTGGACTTTGACGTTGTGCAATGGTTTCTGTTTCTCCTGTGTGATAACTATGAATAGCAGAGGCTGGAGGCCTCCTCCTTGGATACCTGGTCTCACATTATTTTGCATATTCCCAGAAAAAAAAAAAGAGCATGAATTTTTTTTACTCTCTTCTAACTCTTCTTGGACAGTTGACTCTCCTGATCTGTCTCCCAGCCCCTCTGGCCTCACTTCTCAGCCTAGAGGTCTCTGAGGTCTCTTCTGCTCCGTGCTCTGGCACCAATCAGGTGGCCAGCCGTAATCAGGATGAAAGCACCTCCCAGCCTGCTCAATGCCAGCAGCTGGTGCCCTTTGACTGTGTCAGAGGGACGGGGACCTGCCCTTCAGCAGTCTGACTTACCTCACAATTTTTGGTCTGTCTGAGGACTTACACAGTGGTGGCTTTTTGAGCCCAAATGTTTGATGGGAATAAGTTAATTGGTTCAGCAAATTCCTGGTGAAGGACAAGTCGATGCTACTGAGGCTTCCTTTTGCTACTTTTATCTGACAGATAATTGAGAAATTTCCATGCAACTGTATCAGCTTTTGGCAAATGCAGCAGCTGCCACCCTGAAGTGTGCTGGCCAGATGTGTTTCGGTGCCTCTTACCCACCTTTCTTGCTCCTTCTCCGAAATAATCCTACTCCTTGAACCATATAAAATACTCTGGGATGTTTGAAACTCCCCAATAGTGATTCTGTATGGGAGTTCAGCAGTACCTAGGGAACCTAGTGTAGTCTTAACAATTTTTGTGTTCCCGCTGCAGTTTTGGGGTAATTTTAGCTTTTAAATTTAGCTGCTGTGGCTGGCTCCCTGACTTCTTGCACCTGGTGACTCGTGTTTGAGAAGATCCTATGAAACTTGTTATTGTAACAGAAAATATGGCATAGCTTGAGGTATTGAGGTGATTTCACTGGAGTAAAAGGCTTTTATTTGCTTCTTAAAAAGCTCTAGGTGTGTAGCTCCAATACAAATCTCAAAATGGTAGGAAAATGAAAACACAGAACTGTTTTCAGTATGATTTGTATCATTTTGTCAATCTCTGAAATACTTACATATCTACACCATAGTACTGGACTTGGACAATCTAAAGTTAAATAGATTTTTGTTATTTGGCAGAACTGTAGGTTTGAAGACTCTTGTTTGAATTGTTATTCAAGGTCAGCACGCTCATTCTGAAGAGACTTCCTTTCCTTTCACTAGAAATTTAAATGTAAATTTAATGTTGAATAGACTTTTTTTTTTTTAAACTCAAATATGTACAATCTCTCTCTCTCCTGTCTCAAACAGAGATTCATCCTGCAGTGAAACCCAATGTAATCAGGTCACCACCAAGCCTTCAGAGTCCAAGTTCAAAACGTCTGCTTGCACCTTCCAGTCATTCTTCATTAAGTATTTTGGGAAAAAGAAACTACAGCCATCATAATGGTCTTGATGGTATGTGAAAGAATATAAAAGACATATTCTTTAAGTCTCTGAATTGCAAAACGTGTTGTGATTACATTAAAGGGGGTACAGACCAACATGTGTGTAAGATATGTTTCGCATGTTTATCGTATTGTTTCTTAATGCAATGAGTGATGGTACTTGTGGACGTATTAATGCCATCTCTTACTGTTTTTACTGAAAATTACTGAAAAAAATCCTTTTACTGTTTTTCTTACTAATCTTGATATAAAAGGACAGAAAGTAGTAAAACAAATTGGCAAAGGCAGAGATGCAACATGGGTTTTTTTTGGTTTATTGCATTGCATTTTTATTTGAAGAAATATTTTGCAGAGATATGCAAGACCTTTTGAATTGATCATAGAATCATGGGAAGGTTTGGGTTGGAAGGGATCTTTTAAGGGCATCTAGTCCAACCCCCCTGAAGTAAGCAGGGACATCCTCAACTAGATCAGTTTGCTCAGAGCCCTGTCCAGCCTGACCTTGAGTATTTCCAGGGATGGGACATCTGCCGCTTCTGTGGGCAACCTGCTCCAGTGTTCCATCACCCTCATCGTAAAAATTTCTTCCTCATATTTAGACTAAGATTACTCTGTGTGAGATTACTTGATATGTACTGGACTTGCTAGTTTACAGCCAATGTCTTTGCTAGCATGTGAGAATTCTAAGTATGGCTTAGTCTGGATTCTCAACAGTGTGACTGGTAATAGAGGGAAAATAGCTTCTGGCATCTTGCGTCCCAAGACCAGTGTCACAGAGTCAGTTAAAACAGGAAGTAGTACTGGCAATAAGGACTGGTGGAAGGTAGGAGCTCCTTAGAAAGTGACTGTCCCTACACTTACACCACTTGCAGAGGAGGGGTCAACTTGGGATGTGGTGGTTTCTATGTAATTGCACTGACACCAATGTACTGTCTGTGCAATGAAAGGTTTTACCAACCTCCAGAGTTTTTGTGTTACTATAAATATACTAAAAAGCTTTTTTGGTTCCAAAATACTATTGATTGTTGCTGGGTTTATTGCATTGTATCAATTAACAGTATCCAGAAAGCCTGCTATGGAGATGATTATATATTCTGTCTTTCGGTGCATGCTTTGATGAAATGAGCAAAAAAAAAAAAAAGAGTGCAGAGGGCTTATATTAAGTCTTATCTCTTGCTATTTTAATCATCTTAATGTTATTGACATAGAAATGTCTGCATGTTCAGGTTTTCTTTTTTTCAACAGTATCAGAAATTTGTTGTAAAGAAACCGTATAGATATATTTACTTAAGATACACAATAATTTACAACATTCAAGTAAATGTCACAGGCTTGTGTAAATATATATTTAGATTGACATATTCAAAGTCAGTCTTACTGCCTAGATGAGTTGAGTGCCATATTTTGACAGAATTTGTTATTACAGAATAATAATTATTGACTCAGAAATAAAGCAATGTAATATGAACATGGCACTTCTTTATGCATATAAAATACACTGCTTAAGCATTTTGTATTGTATCTAGATAGAGAGAAAATCTTGTCGTTTGTGTAGTTTCTTGTAGGAGAAAGACTTTTTCTGGATGGTCTTAGAAAAGTGTTTTTCCTTTTATTTTCAAACAACAAATCTTGCATTCTGTAGGATGGAATGAAAAATGACAGAAAAAAAAAAAATCAGAGTACCTTGGGGAGTTTTCATGTAATATACATGTTGGTGCTTTTAACTATTCTGAGATGCAGAATTTCCATTGCTGCTAAAAAGAAAGTCAACACAAGATATTTAAATGGTTCTCAGCAGTGAAGACAGTCTCTTTCAAATGGGAAAACTCTGTCTTCAGAAAAACACGGCGTTACAGAATGTTGCGTGTATCCAGCTTTATGACTGGAATCGACAGTGGGAAGATTTAGGTGTGACTGTAAAGTGCTTTGTAGATATTTTGAATCTGATCTTTAAATTAGAGTGTCTGAAATTATTCCGAGCAATTACTTTCACCCACAAGCTGCTTAACTGTGAGCAACAGTACATCCAAGTAGTCAAGTTTCACATCAGGCTACTGTTTTGGCAGGGTGAGTAATGATAATTTTCCGTATAGTATTTGGAAAGATCAGGTAAAGATATTTTACATAAATATAATCTCTGTCAACTGGCAGGCATTTCCTTACTTTTACCTACATCAGAACCAGAATATCCACAGGATACCCAAGATATTAACGTCACTAATGAGGTGCAGAAATCAGTCTGTGAACTGTTGATACTGTTTTCATGACTTGTGGGCAGAAATAAGAGAACCGGTTGTTCATAACTGAAGAGACTTTAATCAACAACCACAATCTCCCTTCTCTCTTCCACTTCCCAGGGCTTTAATGCTGTATTTCAGAATGAGATGTCCTGATGCCTTCAAGAGGGTTCTTTCAACAGTCACATATCTGTTCCTGAATATACTGAATTATGCAGCTGTATCTAAGAATGAGACAGCAATTTTTGGGTCTGTTTTCCTAGGAACCTACACATCTTTGGCACAGCAAGATGAGAAAGTGTCATGAGCAATTGGCAAAGGGAGAAAGACCTCAAAAAAAAGTACCTGCTCTCTTAGATGCTATTTCAGTCAATCCTTCTCTCTCTGCTTATGACTAATGGTATTGGCTGTTGAGGAGATAAGCAAGAAAGAAAGGCTTGTATTTCACTCCTATTTTTCCATGAGGAATTTGAGATTCTCCTTTGACAAACACATGAAAATATAAGCAACCTAACTGACAAGCAGGGAAACTGAAGCCTTTCATGCCCCAATTTTTTGTGAAACAGAGAAAACAATTCTAATATCTGCTTCTTCATAATGAACGTCACGTAACCCTATGTCAAAGTATATTAAAAGGAAGGAGTTTTCACTGTAGGACAGAATTTCTCAGCAGAGGGAGTTGTTTTTTCTCAAAGGTGACTGATCATTGTCATACTATTTTTTGGTGGAGATGGAGATGTTCCACTGTGATGGCAGGCTACCAGCATGGGATGCATACCAAAAAACATCTGGCAATCCATTACTTTAAAAAATAAAACCTTAAATTTTCTCTTACATATTAATAAACTATAAACCTACTTAAATTGTTATAAACCTCATTTTACATATCAATGATTTCCAGCTGAAAGAGAAGAAATAAGATGGGATAAAGAAGCTATTATGTGAATCCACTTTTACCATTTCTTCCATACTGAAGTATAAAGTGGCATTAATTTTGAATTGTGTATACCTATTCTTCCCAAAAGTGAGAAACAAAAGTTATATATTGTTCCACAACAAGAGTAGCCAATTTCTGTCTATTTTCACTGTCCAATTGGAAGGAATAATTTTAAATATTTCGTAGAAAACTAAAATGCTCTAAAGCTTGCATTTCTGTGGTCAGTATATTCACTTTTTTTTGCAGAGGTACTGGAGATGGTGAACTAGTGACAACTTCCAGAGCCCAAATTATGTACCTGGAAGATGACACAGGCCTTAGTTACTCCAGGGTGTTACTGCTGACATTGCCAGTCATTTGTAGAAATATGCTGCTACATCTAAATTTTGCACATCTCAAGCCTTTTTTTTTTTTTTTCTATTTATATTTTTGATTTATAAAAAAAATTTTTCCTTCAGTTTATTTACAGTAAGTTAATGATTCCTCCCCACTTTGGTCTTCATTCCTCCAACCCCAGTGATGGAAATTACGTTGTGACTTAACAAGAAAAATAATCAGCAGGAGGAAAATACTGAAATCTGTGTAGGTTTTGTCTGAAAAATGAAGGAAAATATATTTTTTTCTCAGAATTTCTTAAAGTTGAGAAAAATATTATCATGAAATGATAAATGTGTAGTTATCATTTGCCTACACTGAATTCACATTACAATTATCTCACAAGTATTTGAGGTGTTTTGATTACAAATGAAAAATCAGTCTTCTATTCTGTGTCCACAGACTGCTGAAACTGCAGAGTATTTTTTCAGTGGGTGAAGGTAAGCAGTGTGACTCTTCTAGGATGAATTTGGTTACAGGAGGTCTTGGGAGGAGCAAAACCATTTCCGCAAACACATTTTTCCTTAGATTTCCTCTTGAGAAGGAACTGTTCCTAAGCATTAGCATAGCATATCACTCTGTTGTGGGTATTTTAAAATATAGACAGTGATTGCTTTTGTTTTGCAAAAGTCAAAATTACAATATCCATTCAAGTGCAGTTCTCGGGACTATTGTATCTTCTGAAATGTGAGTTATTTCCAAGGGTGGAAGTGGACTAGAAATTGAATAGAGTTTTTTTACTTTTTTGTTTTTATTTCCTTTCTTTAAAAAATGGATCTTTGTACTTATAAGTCTGCTTTGCCTACATTTGGTTCAGAGAAACCACAAAACTAGAATCGCAATTGTGCTTTGATGCACCACTTTGAATGTACCAGACATCACTTACATTTTGTTTTACTAAGGAAACAAATACTTATGAAAAGATTATAGCATTGTATCTCTGTATTCACCAGTGTAACACGTGCTTTGGATAACCCTGATAACAACAGGGGTTAGAAAGAGCAAGCTATGTGGGATTGCAGATGGAAGAAAGGGCACTTCATGGTGAACTGCCCCATTTTTGCTGCTAAAGCAGTGTTTCTTTTTTTATATATAGGTAATGTGTAGACGTGGGATTGCAGATGGAAGAAAGGGCACTTCATGGTGAACTGCCCCATTTTGCTGCTAAATCAGTGTTTCTTTCTTATATATATAGGTAATGTGTAGACGTGAAATTGCAGTAACACTGGCTTTTCTAATTGGCAGAATAAATGAGCTCTTAAAACAGTAAACAATAAAAACAACACTATAATCAAGTTAGCACTCAAAACACAGTGCAGATAACCAGAACCTAATTCCTGGAATCACTACTTTCCCCTTTTATTATTTTAAAGAATTAAAATTGCAGAAAGAGAATCCTGTCTGTTGGATAATGGGATTAGCAGCGTATTACTTCATGAATTAAGTGTTCTGGATTTGAGATCTGGAATTCATACTTAAAAGCCCTTGTGTGTATGATTACTGTCAAGTAGGTTGGTTATTTTTTTGTAAGCTGTGATTACAGAGCAGTAGTTCTTAACAGTTTTATTACATAATGTAATATGGAAGGCACCTTCAGAAAGTGCCTAGGCAGTGTAACTGGAAAATTCCCTTGTCTGGGGAAAATGCTTTGTGATTGTTTCGTACATTTTTGTGATTTTTTGCTTTTGTTGTCTGTATATTGTTTCTCTAGTGTTTCAGATTTCAATCTTGGGAGACTAAGCGTCTTCCTCAAATAAAGTCAAACTCATTCTTAGTGTGATTACATTATATACATTTTTCTAATAATACTTAATGTTAGTCGTTCCTCTGCCACAAACTGGTAGGAATAAAACAATTATTTTGGTTATTTAAAATATTCATAACCCAAGTTGAGAAGAAATAATGAAACAGTCATACTTTCTCAGCTTATTTCATAAGAAATAAGACTTTTTGTAGTCTCATGCACCACAATAAACTGTGAGTGTTACTGGGATTAAACACTCTGCTATTCCATGTCTACCTTTATTTTCCATGTGTCTAAATTTCCATTATCTTGAAGCGTATTTATTCTGGAAGGTTTAGAAAAGGGCACCTTTCACCCACTAGTATTGCTGATGACCCTGTAAATATAAAAGAGAAAGGTGAATGTCAGATAACTAAGTTTCCTATCAGCAGAACTAAAGAATAGCACATACAAACATAACACATGAACAGCTGGAAAAGGACTGGAGTGTTATTAAGGATGTGGTTTCTGTCCTGGCTTGATGAACCCTTAAGGAAAAAAAAAATGTTGCTGGAGAATAATATGTAAATTTGAAATAATTCTGTAGCTGGCACCATCCCTTAGCAGTGGCCTTTTTCTGATTTAGCCTTAAATGGTTTTACGGTGGGAAATTTTATGGTCTCCTAGTGCCCATAAACAGGGAGAAACACTTGGTTGGTCAGTATGGTTCGTAAAGCAACTTATAATATGAGGAAATTTCTTTTTACAACTTAGTTCTATTTGAGTTCATATAAATATGTTGTAGAAAGAGCATATGACCATCTTAGGCAGTTTCTGCTGTTGGTGCATCAATTTCTCCACAATAATAAACTTCCAAACATCTTATCAGTACTGAAGTTGTGTTTACTGTAATTTACTTGCATCATATCACCAAAACCCATTGTTAGTGATGTTGCCTGACCATTTCTGTTTAAAGTGGAGTAATCCGCTTTAGCACTTCATCAGCCATAAGGGGAGAATCATTCTGTATCCTGGAGTTTCCTTTCTACTGAAGAAGTGCAAGTGCAAATTATTGTAGAATAATAGAAAATCATTTGCTATAAGAACTCATTTATAAACCAAGTGTCCACCGGTGCCAGCGTCACTGAAATTTAAGCCTGCTTATTTAAATTCCTGAAGGCATTCTAAAACTTGGCAGATAAAACTGAAAATGCAAAGTTTTATTTTCTGTTCTATTGAACACCGACATTTGTGGTTTTTAAATAAGCTCTCTTGCCCTCCAGCTGCGTTGGAGGTTGCATTGGTGTGCAGACCTTTTGTAAAACACGCCTTTTTGAATGCTGCATGACTGCCTTCTTAATTGGAAGCAAGGGCTTTCTTCCTTAGTTGCCTTAATTAAAAGCAAAGTTTTCCACAGAATTGGCTGGTGTGTGTTCATGCATAAATGTTGCTCACAATCCTGCCAAATCAGAGTGTAATTATTTTCTGGAAAAAAACAGTGTCTCCTCAGTTCTAAAATTCGAATATGAGAGTATGTAAGAGTTTAAATTGTGTCACAACGGCACCTTAATTAGTAATCTCTGCTAGATCCTAGAATCTTTTGACTGTGTCTACTTATTTAACAGTTCTTGCCCTAACTTTTTATTTATTGATATACTCAGGTCTTTCTAAAAGATGGTTGGCAGCTTAGATGACGTTTCAGTATCTACAGCATTAAAATAAAAGAAAAAGATAAGCAAAAAAACAGAGAATGTTTTTATTGTATGATATTACACAGGGATATTACTCTACAAATATAAGAGATCTTTCTTCACTTCTTTGCCTGGTTTTGTTGATAGGTTATCAATATGGTAATACCCTGGAGTTAAGAGTTGTTGGCATTGCATTAAGAGTGTCTGCAAAGTACTCTTCAAAAATACACTATTTAACAGCCTCCAGGTTCTTTTGTCTGTTCCTCATTTCCCTTTAGGGAGATACTCTCTTTTTCACTCAGTTGTCTGTGGAACTAAGATGGTGACTGAGCATTTTGTGACAAACATGGCTAAGTATAGTTTCTATAGATCTGGCAGATAAAGCTATGCCAAAAGCATAGCACCTCTGAGTAATAGTGAAGATTTTGTTACTGTAGGATCTGAGTATAAAAAGTAAGGATTTTTATTTGTTCACTTTGATTTTTTGGGGGTGACTGGAAGTGCTGTGTAGTGCATCTTCTCTACATTTCAAGAGAGAAGCAGCATCATCCTTTTTGTTTAAACTGATAATTCTGCTTAAGTTGAGGATTCCTCAGGAAATGCAGTGCTGCTCTTGGAGTTAGGTTGGGGTTTTTTTCCTGGATAGTTGCACTTATAAATGGAATGAGTCCTTGTCTCAAAGAGTTATTCGAGTGGTTATACCTCCGTGAATGCAGTCTCTGTGTTTTCTCAGGAACATTCAGGTCCTGAAATGTTATTTCACTGTGATGTCAAAAAAATAAACAAACTTGTAATAACAAAAATAACCTTACTGTGAAGATAAAAATTGAACAGATTATAGAGCTCTTCACTCTACTGTGACCTTCTCTTACTTTATAACAGTGCCAAATATATTCAGGTATCAGGAAACAGTAGACTGTCACAGTATTTAACTTTTATACTACCAGTTTAAAACTTACCTGGGGGACGGGTGACCTATATGTATTTTTATATATGATAATGTTTGTGAGAAAAAAGAGATAAAAAGGGGGCTCAGAGGGGAGCTCACAACTAAAATATGGGTGACTTTAGGTAGGTTTTTGCATTACAGAACCTTTAGCTATGGAAAGTTATTGATACCTATATATATATATAATTATTATTATTTTTTAAAATTAGATTGGATTAAAGATGAAGACTTGTACAAATGTAAATGTAAACTAGACACAGGAATTACTGCTGAATATCAAACTGGAGTTTCTAAATAGTTGGAGATGCTTAAAATGGCTTATCTTTTTTCCTATCAGTGATTGAACTATACCTTCAGATTTCAAAATGAAAGAGAAACACCGGTTTGAGAGTGTAATTATCATTTTTTTCAGAAAGAAATGTGCAGCTGTTCTTTCTCATGTCCTTTGAATGTCTTTAGAACTATTTTAACAAAAACAAACCCTTGGAGCATTCTTTGTGTAAGTGATGCTAGTTGGGACCCCCGTAAGAATCGCAAACTGGGGCAAGAATAACTAACCCATTGTAATTATTGTACATTTATCTCACTTGCAGAATTGCGACTCTACTGATTCAATTCATGCAGAATTGTGTACTTTTTACCCAGAACTGCATGCAGTGTTGCTAGATGTCTCTTCCTTAAGAACTCTGTGTACTATAGCCGATATGATCTTACTCAAATTTTTGAGCGAGTCTATGAAATTGCTAGTAGCATCCTTTTGCATCTCATAGATCAGCAGCTAATTTTCTTGCAGTTTTTTTAACTGGTTAGGAGAATGTTTAGTTACTGAAGTTATACTGCTTCAAAAAAGAACACGGCTGTAATGTGACAAGTGTGCTGTTTTAAAGCCAAAGAGGGTGAGATTTGTGTCCTTGGGGTAAAAAAAGCAAACAAAATTTAATTTAAACAGCAGGGTGAAATCTATGTTAGCTGTTGGCCTAGTCATGCTTCCTCAGCAATTTTATATAAATGTAACCGTGAGTTCAGTTGACTGACTCCTGATTTATCATATAGGAAAGAATAATTATGCTTTCTGGATATTACACTTGTCTATATACTTTGTCAATTTCAATCTGAGAATCCATCTCGAAATTCTCAAGAAAAGGATTGTCTCATTTTATAAAGCTTTTTCAAATGGGAATAGTAATGGAATTTTGCTGATACTATTTGTATTTTTTTCTGCAGAGCTAATCCTCCATGTTAAATGATGCCATATGTTAAAAGCAAAATGAAAAAACCCACTTCGTGAAACATGAATTATGAATTAGTTCCATTTTTATATTTTTGTGCAGAAGGGGATAATTAAGCAAAGAGAATGGGTGCAGTTAACAGCACACTATGGTGCACCGTATATTTTCAGGACCAGTGATGATTCTCATGCGCATTTCATGAGAAATCTTTCCAATCTCTGCATTTCTGATCTGTTCGTTGTTGTAGCTGAACAGTAGCATCTTAGCCTTCAGGGTGATCATCAGAGAATAGGGCTCTTATGGATTAAGACAATACTCTAATGCGCTGTGGTTCTTTTGTTTTCCAGAGTCATCCAGCCATACAAGAACAATAATGGTAAGTACAGAGGAGATTATAGGTATTGATCTATCTATAGATATTATTTTTCCTTTGAAAACAAAGTGGATATATTGGCATGCTTTCTTATAAAGTCGAGTATCACTGTAGAGATAAAATGAATCTATCTGCCATCATATTTCATGGGAAATCTTGGAAAATAAAGTGAGGTTGAATAGCTTAAGAGGTATCAGTGCTGTCAGTTTGAATAGGTGAAAAATCCAGGTACAGTTCTCTGTGTTATGTGTTTAAATCATTTTTTATTATGTCAAATTAATGTTGGTAAAATCTCTTGCATTCTATGTGTATCACGTGTCAGAACACATTTAAAGTTCAAAACATAAGCCAAGTAATTCCTTGCATCACATTCCTGTGAGGCCAGTTTTTGACTTTGCCTTGAGTTTGATAGTTTGGGTTCCAGAAACAGAGAAATGTTTTAATGGATAGATGCTTCTTCAAAAGTGAGATTTAAAAAGTTCTATGCATAACAATGTCATGGATTTAGTGTCTATCTTGGGTTTTTATAGGGTGAGAAATTTTATCAGTCGTTCTGTTTCAGACTCCTAATAAAAGTTAGATAAGGACTGAACAAAAATTCACATAAAGAAAATCTTTCTCTGACTGGGAATGATTCATGCCTAGACTGTAGATATTTGGGGAGAAGGCTATCCACTTTTGGAAAAAGAACAATTTTTGAGGCGCGTTTTGAAATTTTAGAATAAAGCCAAACAAAACATAAAGTGAGTTTGTTTTCATTCCTGCAGTTTTCAGGGTGTCCCTTTGGGTTTATTACCTCTTCTTTATGTACAGTATTTGTGGGACATGCAAATTCCCACAGAGAAGCTTGATTCAACAGGGGACAAAGGGTAAATTTAGTTCATTGCCTTTATCATCAATAGTCATTAATAATCCAGTGCAAATGAATAATAAATATATTATTTAGACTACAGATCACAAAAGTTCAAAATGGAAGAGATATGTCTATAAACAGTTATATTTTCTACTGGATATGACATAATCCTTGTTTGCCATGAATTTGGTTTAAATAGACCCATTTCAAAATAAGATGCTTAGAGTTATTTAACCATATTCCTCTGCTGTAAAATTTTTGGAAGGGACTGAATTTTTTTTCAATATTTCTTTCCAATTCTGCATTGGTGTCAGGAAAATAGCTAGAAGTTAATGCTGAAGCTGGTGAAAACTTCACTCTTCATTTACTTTAATTTTTTTTTCCCACTATTAATTTTACTGTGAAGGTAACATATTCTGTCAGTCCCTCTTTTCTATTAATGTATCAAAATAGCTTTAAAAACTGACCCAAAGAAAGGGCTTTTTGCCTATATAAATGTGTCCTCACACCAAAACATGGCCAAACTTTAAAGAGATAAGCAAAAAGTTTTTAAATAACTTGTGTTCTCGTTGAGGTTCCTGTGTTGTGAACCTCTCCAGACCTCCTTGACAACAACTCAGACTGCTCAGACTAATGTTCTGCAGTCAGTATGCAGTAATTGTCCATTGCACTTAAATAAATAAAAGTACAATTAAAAATAAGTGTACTGTTTAGAGTGAAAAGGTTATAACAATATGTCCACTCTTCTCTACAATTAAAGCATAACTAAATATGTAATGGAAAACCTCTTATTCACCAATGAGTAGGTAGAATATTTCAGTAAAATATACTATTCCTTGCATTAGAAACAGTATGAGATTATCTATTCAGTACAGACACAGTGAAGCAATACTTCTGAGATCTATGTTTGAATGACTACTGCAATAAATAATTACTATGAAATAAAATCCCCTTTTCCTGACTGATTATGGTTAATATTGTAACAGATAAAAAGGATAAAGCATGATCTTCAGTCAAGCAGAATGCGAGAGGTACAGCAGCAAATCTCTATACTGTCTTGGATGCTTTGATGTAAAAAGCTTTTGTCTTACCAAAGCAAAGTATTTGAACTCCTTTTAAACTCCATTTGTAGGTGATGGAATAACATAAGTAAAGCATTAAATCTTGTCTCTGATGATTCAGATTTATGTTAGAATCAAAACCAGTGGGGAATAGAGTGTACTTTGCTTACAAAAAAGTGCAGTAAGAACATTACAAGTATTCTTCTGTATTTAAATACAATGATGGCTCCTTATTTTTTGTTTCAGAGTCTTGTTCATAAAAATAAAAATCTAGAAAATATTTTAAGGGTCTGGGGAGGAGGGGAAGGGATCTTATATGTTTTAACTATAAAACAAATTCCCTCTTATTCTCTGGATAGACACCTATGTTAGTCTTTCATTACTGTTTTGTTTTGTTTTTTAAATAGCCTTTGGGTTTCTTAAATGAAATTCTATATCCTAAATGAATGTGTGCCTGCACACTAGTATCAATGTTTGTGACTCTATGCTGTGTGGAGGCTGCATTTATCTCAAGTCTCTACGAATAAGTAAACTACACCAGCCCCAGACCCTGGTGCCTATTAGAGGTGTAATGCTAATGCCTTTGCAAGTAAGAACACTCCAGGTGTGGCAAGACAGAACCCATACCTGATTTAAACTTAGTGTAATTCTACACTTGTTTTACACTATATCCTGTATAATTAGGTCAATGCAAAATATGTTGAACCAGTTCATATGTATTATTACCGATCTTCTAATCGTGCCTGATTTCTTCTAATGATTTTTTTTCTCCATGTAGTGAGCAGCTTTTGCTCTGTTTGACCTGATTTGATTTTTTTGTCTAAAGATGCAACATTTTAAAAATGCTAATTCAAGGCAATGAGATTTTTTTCCTTTTTGAAAGGATAAGGAAGAATGTAAGAGATTATAAATTCAACTCCACTTAGGAATTTATGATAATCCAGTTAAACATTCTTTCAGCCACAGCATAAACAGTCACCGCTAGTTTTTGCACCTATAATACCAGTTGGTGTTACTTATTTATTTCAAAACTCTTCAGTGGCTCTCAATGGATAAATGCTCAGCCATTTATATCCTAGTGCAAGCTGAGAAATTTACAGACAGAAACCTTGAGTGTGTTTTGGGTCTGAATCCCATTTCTGATTTTGTGCAGGATTTCTCCCCTGACTTTCCGACATGCATCTAATATCCTTGTGCTTGAAGTTCCTCTAAAAGCTAGTGAGGATAGGAGATTTACCCTCCATAATAAAGATGCTGTTTGAAATTGCCACTTTAATATAAGGCTTTTGTGGAGTATCTTTATAGGTGTTTTTGGAACAGTATCCAAACTTTGTTGGACTGGTAGCTGCCCCTACAGCACATATCACATGTATAGTGGTGCTGTACAGCTAATTCCTCTGTTTCTCAGACACAGCGAAGCCTTATGCCCAGTGCACCTTGTAATGAAAGATCTGTATTTACAATTAAGCGACTGATTGAATTAGTAACTGATTAAATGAGTGCTGCTGCTTCCAGAAGATTTAGCAGAGAGAAACACATTCTTACATAGCTTATTCATGAGAGGGACTATTGCATTCCCTGAACATTGGAGGTATCTCAGTTGCTCACTGGGAACTGAACATTTATGTATGCAAAAGGGAAATTCATGCCTCTGCAGGTCTCAAAAATCAAACCTGTGAGTGAAATACCTGAGAATGGTACTCACAGAGAAATGTTTTAGGAGACAGCTGCGAAGACATTATAACAAATGGTCTTCCCATAAACTGCTCCTTGTTGAAGACCTTGAAAAGATTGTCTTTGGTCTCAGAGGTCTCTGAGGATGCGTTCAGCCTGGAGAGTGGAGACTTCCTGTTCGGCAGGTGACACTCTTGCCACATAACTGTGCTGACTTAAATATTTGTGTTCTTTGTTGGATGTCTCATTGCCTGAACCAGAGCACCCTTAGCCTCTGTGATTTGCCACTAGTTTGCAGAACTGATTTTTTACTCCCAAATTGTTTGAGAACTTCAATTGTTTTGATTAACTAGAAATTAAAGATAATGTGGTCCCTAGTACACAGACTGGAGAACAATGGTCTTATTTTCTCTTGTCCTTAATTGAAATGCAATTAATTTCTTCAAATAGCTTGAAAGGACTGGGAGAGAAGGAAAATAAAAGGGAAAATTCTAACCAATATGATGCAACAGAAATGAGCTTATGTTGTAAGCCTTTTCTGGAATGTTCTGTTCTGCCTGGAATAAGAGTTAGGGTATAATAAAAGTAGACAAAACAGAATTTCAGAACTAGTAACGACATCTGTCTCTGCCAGGGGTAAAACTATTATGAAAAACCACATACTTTTTCCGCAAGGCTTTACTGTTCTTCAGGGTTTATGCCACAGGAAATGCACTTTTTGTACCTTGTACATTTCCTGAACATTTTTTTGCCTGTGCATGTTGTCTTGAGTAAAGGAAACATTCAGTTGATGTATTAGAAAGGAGCCTGTAAAAATATATAAACCATTATATTTGATAACTTAAACCCATTTCTGGCTGGGGAAGCACAGGAAAAATTGCCCTTTGAGCCCTTGAAGGTTCCTCTGTAATGTATGGCACTGATTTTCACTGCATGAATTCCTACTTACTTTTTGAGCACTATCCACTTTGTACAATAAGAGATTATTAGTCAAATACTTTAATGAATTTCTAATTTTATCCAAACTATGTATTTTATCCTGAATTTATTCTAAATAACAGCTGAATTACTTCAAGTAGCATGTCCTTTACTTCTTCCTCTCCACTAAAGCCAACACACAAAAAAAAGTGAAAACCAAACTGCAGTCTATAGACACTAAATAACAAAGTAGAAAAATTTAGTCAAATATTTAGAGGGACTACAAAGATGGATTTACAGCCCTAACTGTGCAACACCAACAGGTGGTGGAGTCACCTTCCCTGGTGGTATTTAAAGGATGAGTAGACGAGGTGCTTAGGGACATAGTTTAGAGGTGGAATTGGTAGTGTTAGGTTTATGGTTGGACTCGATGATCTTAGAGGTATTTTCCAACCAAAACCATTCTGTAATTCTCTGTGATAAATTCACCATAAGCCTTATTTGTTTCTAAGACAAAGGAAAATGGTTTAGTTCTAAGAAAGAGTTATCTATGACTCACTCAGATTTGATGTTTTGTTGCTCTTTCTCTTCTTGTTTGGTTTTGTTGCATCAGATCTAAGGAATCATAGAGTTCAGTTATTTTCACTAAAATAATGAACACTGGAATTCTTTGTTGAATGCATAAAATTTGTCTTACTGGAGGGAGCAAACGGTGTGGATCAAGGTGTGCTGAAAGTTATGGTATAATGCGAATATAATGCATTGAATAAGAGTGTAAGAATTGTGCAGAAGAAATGAGGCCCTTGCTTGTTATTTTTGGCTGTTACATTTTTATGACATCATTTAAGATGTCAGTTTTGAGTTCTGTTGTGCTAGTCTTTGTGAATACCAGCAGCCCTTACCTTACTCAGTGACTTTGGAATTGGTCCTCTAATTAGAGGGTACTTCCGTGAATGTGCAGCATTATGTGCATTTTATGAATATTACAAAAATGCTATCAGTAATGTGGAATACTGGTATTATTTAACCATGAAAATAGTACTTCTGCCTAAGAAAACATGATGTTAAATCTATGTGAGAGGAAGTAAGCAAACTGTCATCTTTGTATAATGTCTTCTGTCATATCTGTTTTAATCAAGTAGTGTTATTGGTTAGTCCTACAGATAATCAGTTATGTGGGAAACAAATTCAAATTTCCAAATTTCATATATTTGTCATGGGACATTCTTCCAAAATGTTACCTATAAACTATATAGAAAACATAGTTTTCACTCTCTCCTTTTCATATATCAGAAGGCAGCTTCTCTCATTAGATCTAAGTACTTGTTCTCTTGTTGCACAATTATTCCATGTAAAGGTTTAGTGGAAATGCAATTGTTTTATGTTTAATGTTATCTGTATTGAAATTAATGCAGACATATTTCAGTCAGCTCTAATATGTAATGACTAGTGAGTAAACCTAAGAACCATGGCACCAGCAGTGTGATAGAAACCTTTGTTACCCTGCTTCCATTTAAGTCAACAGCAGGACCAAACCACTTGTCTTATTCAGTGACTTTTACTTAAAAAGAGAGACAGACAGAGTAAGGACCTATAAAGTGTGAAGTATAGATTTTTAAAAATTAGATTAGTGCCATATTTGGATGAAAAAAACAAGACTCATCTCTCATTGGTTAGGGTGCTGAGTTTTTGTTCAGAAAATGTGAATTGTCTCCTAAAGTCAGTGGGTTTCTGTTGCAGAACTGCTTAGTTCATGACATTGGTTCATGCCTCAATTTTTCTTTGTATAAAATAGCATTAGCAATAGTTAATTTACTTTTTAAAGGGCTTTAAGACCTGTGGATGAAACATGTCAGTGCACACAGGGTATTATCTGATCCCCAGGTACTGGTTGAGGAAGACGAGCTGGTTTTTGAGAAGGGTGCTGTGTAGGCTGCCCTTTGCAGGAGAATAAGTTAACAGAATAATGCTTATTCTCCGGCCAATATCTTTCCCATTTTTTTTGTTATGATTTCAGCATGCTGCTCCCCATGTTCATATGACTAATGGTAAGGCCTTGCAGGCCAGCACAAGTGCCATTAAGACAAGCACCATTCCAGTGATCAAGAGACAGAGGCAAAATTGGCTTGATGCTTCAGATGATGGTTTCTTTATAGCTACAGAAGAGACCAGGTAAGAGAAATGAAATCTAAGCAGGGAACGAGGCTTCGCTGCATACATGTTATTGATCCACTGTTTGAATAACAGTTTTTGACATTATTATTTGAGGTTGTGTTACAGTGAAGAACAATTTTACATTAAAACATACACCCAACTTTGCATCTCTTGCATACTAGTATTATCAGTATTTTCCTAATAAGACTTACTCAGTCAGGGCTGCTTGTCTGTGGCGAAGATTAGAACTTGTAAATTGTTACTAATTGTAGTTCATATACAATGAAGTTTAAGGCACCTCTAATCATTCAGCAAAATGTAAATGCATCCACGATGTAGGTTATGGTATAAAATTTTCAGCACCTGAAAAATATATAGCACAGAACAGAGAAATATACAGGAGATAGCACCTTTTCCAGGCTAGAAATTTGTTTCCTTGAAAAGCAACTAAGATTATAATCTTTTTCAGTCTTTCATTTACAGATTTATTGGTAAAATTTATTGAGCTTTTGCTTTTCCCAGTAGAGCTTGATATCACAGAAGAGTCACTAGTTTTATGGAGGCTCCTCTGTTCTTTTCTTCCTCTGTTAAGGAGGCCATTCCCTGATTTAATTCAGACTAAGAGAAGAAATTGCAGTCTATTTTTGTAAGCTGCTGCTGCTCGGCCTGTTATTTAAAAACCTTTAAAATCTTGCTTAAGCAAGAGGATTATTACAGCAAGTAACATCAGACTGCTCCTCACTTCTGTGATTATTTAACAAGCCCAGGAAAGCTGGTAGTTGAACAAAAATGTAAATAATAAAATGAGGGAAGAGAAAGAACATATGTAAATATAGAGCTAACCAAGGAAAATGTGCACATTTAGTCCTGTTAGGGAAGTCAAAGTACTAGTACATGACAATTTGGTGGTTATTTCAATTAAATATGGCACTTCATTTTTCATTTGTATGAGGAATGTGACAATTCAGAGAGAGTGGTAGGAGGATGATGAGCTCTTAGGCTTCTGATATCTAGCCCAGATTGATAGCATTCACTATTTTGAGAGTTGTTTGATGCAAAGAGCTTAGTAGATTCAGACTAATCCCTGGTGATTATACCCTCAAAGTGAGACTGGTAACCTTTCGAAGTTTTAGAATTTTCAGTATTTTTTTTCCATTATTATAGAGAAGTGCCTGTCAAAGGATGAGTTGAGTCCTACACGGATAGTGTTTGTCTCTCCCCACTGATCTCAGAAGTAGCCCAGACAACTGGCCTAAATTAGATGTTTAAACTCTAGATGACTGAAGTATAGTGAGATGACTCCTGCCTTTGCAAATCACTCATCTGTGATATAGCTCTGCCTCTTCCTCTCCTAGTAAATCCCCCTCCCCACTCCCATGGCTGCAGACTCCATACCTGGGCGGGGCAGCAAGGCAGAACTTGCACTGTCTCCCCCTCCGCAGCCATGGTGGTGGGCAAACAAGGGGCTTAGTCCTCAGGACTCTGCATCTGCTGCTCTTCTCCAAATCATTAAAAGTTTAAAGAGTAAAATTTGAAATCTCCTGGTATGGGGAACATAGGGCAGTTAGATCCCATTGATACTCCCTCAAACAAGGAGGTACCTAAAAATGTTGTGCTGCATCACTCTGACCAGTGTTGAAGCAGCAGAGCAGGGAATGCCCAAGGACTGGTGTGTGTTGAGCCTCTCCAGTACCACCATTCCCAGTCTGATGAGAGCTGACCCTGTAGGTTTGATGCCAGTACGCATGTATGCACCTTCCTTCTGTAACAGCAACACATAAAGAGTATTAGCGCCTCATTCACGTTAATCTTCAAAAATAATGGGCAACAACAACTTTTTAGCCCTTGAAACTTGGTTTCACATGAGATCTGTTCCTTCTCTCCCACAGGGCTTTTTCTTGTTTTTTCTTTTTTCTTTTTTTTTTTTTTCTCCTGTCCCCATCCCATCCCCATTGATTCCATCCCTACCTCAGGCATGCTTTCTCCTTTCTAACTTTTTCCTTTGATCCTTTGATTCCCTCCACCTTTACTCCAAGATTATTTAGAAGAGATGATGTAACTTGTTTTCCTCTTGGCTCTCACTTGCCTCCAGCCTTTACAGCTTGAGGTGGAAAGCACTGCCTGGTTCTGTTGCTAGGAATGCCCTGTTGCCCAAGACAACAATTAAATGCTCTGCTCTTTGGAGGAAGAAGGAGGAAGTGGAAATAGAGACTAGTCCCTGACAGCCAGCCTGTCCTGTGACAGGAGTTCACATAGCTGAGCACGGCCGTGACAGAGTTTAATGCAATATCACTGCAATGGGAAAAGATATCTAGGGAGGAGACGTTTGTGAAAATTTATCTAGTCCTGCCATAGAATGAAAAAAAAAAAAAAAAAGAAAAAAGAAAAAAGTTGTCAGTTTGCAGCCATTAGGTGTTTGATTATGTTCTGAACACTCAGCTCAGAAATAATCACCCCATTTGAGTCAAGGTAACAACTCATTCTTTAGGGCACTTGTTTCGTACCGTATTAGGATGTGGTCTGTTTGATCATGTGTATTTGTTCATTAAAAATACATGGAAGACAGACACATGCTAATTACAGCAAAAGGTAAACTGTTTTTCAGTATAATTACAGCCTGCAGAAAATTTAGAATGTTTTGTTTGCAACAGTCTGTAACAATTTCGTTTCTCCATCCTAAAACCGTTTGTGCAGTGAATTAATCTTTAAGATGCATATTTCTATAAAAAACATCAAGTAGGGATTCTAGAGTGTAAATTTTCTCAGATATTTAGCTAAAAAAAAAAAAATACTACAATAGTTTGTTGCTAATATCTGAGAAAAAAAATATTATTGCTGTTAGACTAAATGAAGTGCCAGTCTATTTCATGCTAACCAAGCCAAAGATATGCACATGAGCATTCTAAATTTTGCTATCCATCAATACATAAGGTGAATATATGTATTTATACCTATAGCTCCATTTTAGAAGATATTTTTAAAGACATTATTATTGTCCTTCCCCCCTCTGAATTTAAGCAGCATTCGTATTTGGGTAAAGTTAACTGTTGTATATCTAATTACTCACAGATTTGAGATGCTTATAGCAATGGATGAGTAGGGAGCTAAATATTCAGAGCAGTGAAAATGTGAAATTATATATCATCTAAGCTTTCCAATATAACCCTTGGAGTTACCCTAGAATTTTAGGGTAGTGCCCTTCACTCAGGCCACAGTTCAACAGTGCCTGCAGGTGCACTTAAAATTTAGTGTGAGCATATGTATCATTGAAACAAAAAGACTGGAGTTAACATCTGAAGTGCAACATGTTTTCGGTTCTGATCTGCTCTTCAGAGTTAGAACAGGATTGTACTTTATATCAGCTGTAATGTGCATCCTCATATGTTTCAGCTTTTTTTTTTTTTTTAAATTGTAGCTATTTGAATGCAGTTTCCTCCCCTGTTGTGTATCAGTATCTGCACATCTGGGGAAAAATGCCAACATAATTCCCATTTGTATTCTAATGTCTCCAAGCCCAGAGGCCTCTGCAGAGCTGGGCTGCACATTAACATGGTGCTGAGCCCCAGTCGTTATAGCCCCAGTCAGTTTGGGGAAGGGACAGAGTGAGTTTGCACCTGCCTACATATTAATGCCATGAATGAATCACCCATATGAATTCCTTGATTTATCTATATCTATTCTATACATGTAGCTCCCCTTCCTGAATGCCTGTCAGCATGCTCAGTGAATTTTGCCAATAAATAGAGAGGTCTCCAGTTCCGCTATTTCATCTGTAGTGACAAGCTGCACTCTCCGTTCAAAAATCTTCCTGATGCCTGTGTGAGTCCAGCTCACCTGGGATTTCCACATCTTGGTACAGGCACGGCCTCACAACAGGGATTAATCTAGGCAGAAAACCAGGGCACAGTTCAAGAACACTTACCCTGCCATTACATCATAATTTTATGTTGACCTTTGCTAGATTTAACATTTTTGTATTTTTCTTTATTCTTACCCTTTTTAAATGAAAAAGGGATTCTTGTTCCCTGCTGCGAAATAACTTGCTCAAGATTTTATTCTAAAGTGCAGATCTGTTTACACAATTCATTTAAAAATTGCTTTTTAAAGAACCTTACATTTATCACTGTTCACCAAAGGAGTCTCCTTATTTCTTTTTCATATACTTAGATATTACCTTCTAAGATTCTCCCAAGTGCATGCTTTAGGATCAACCTAAAGTCTCATAAATATAAAATAATTTTATTCAGGACATTGTACTAAATTACATTTGATATAAAGAAGCTTTTTGGCTTTTGTTCCCCTTTTGTTGATTAGCTGTGATGTGGATTCTATTGTAGGCCCTGTTAGAGGTTAATGCAGAAAATGTCTACGTTGTGTGTGATTAAATTCTTTATACTGAATCACCATTTTGGGAGTTAAATGATAGTTGAAAATATGGGACAGTTCATATTATGATCTCTAGAATTTTAATTAAAAAGTGATATATCAGTTTAATATCTCTTGAGTTATATAAAACATAATAATAATCTATGAATAAGATGAGTAATATATTTGTTGGATGTTAAGGGAACTGTATTTGTTGATTAAAACTTTTCTTAGCAATTCTAGGTATGCAGTGTGCATACAGTTCCTATACACATGGTCTGTAACAGAATGCACGTGCATGCTAATGATCATACTCGTATAGGGACAGCTAAAACGCCGTGTGGAAAATTAATTTTATTTTTTTTTCAGCATTTGCATTATAAAAAATGTGTGGAAGTGTTTAGCTGAATGGGTTATAGCAGCAGATTCCATATGCTTTCCCTTCATGGGCCAAAAAGCATATTTGCATATAGAACTGCAGTTGAATGACTCGATGCTTGTTTCCTTTCAGTGCTGAAGCAGTTAGAAACCTTCTCATGGTAAGTGCAACTCCATTGGGAATTAGTTAACTGCAACTGCTAAAATTAGAACATGATCTTTAGCTGTTACCAGCAGACATTGCTTCCTTTTAGCTGATAAAATGATTTGAAAGG